CAAAATCAATACGCCTTTTCTTTGATTTGAATCCTTTCACAACCAGTGCTAGCTTTGAACTCGTGGTTGGGAGCTTTTGTTCTTAAACTGGCTTGATCCGAACGACCGGCACTGTTTCTTCAAAGCTTCTTGCCTGTTGGGCAAGCTTTACGCAGCTCAATATGTTTTATTCTCCCATGCAAGGATTTCATTTATTTGCATGGCTTCAATCCAGTTTCCTTTGCTTGTTCACTTTTGCATTGCTTCTCAAAACATTCAGGTTCTGCCACCGTCAGTCATCAATACATATTTTCCATTTGCTGAATATTCTAGTAGATGGTTGTCCTGAATTCTACTAGACCTTCTAATGTTTAAGACCTTCTGGAGCTGGTGGCCTGAATCTAGGAACACCATCAAAAATCATCTTCTGGTTCAATTCTGATGAGGAATTTCTGGATTTTTTCTACCTCTGGCTGCTTGTTCTTGTGGAAACATTTTTTCTTTCATCTCCAACTTGTCTTTGTTGCTATTGCTGGAGGAACTATTTCACATCTGTTGAATTCATCTTAAAGATCTATCGGCAACTTGCTTTCTGAGTCCTTTCTAACATCTTCAATAGTCTGATTTTCAACAAAATACAGCATCTCTACTTCTTATCATCTTTTTTCTGGAGTGGATCAAACAAAATCTATAGCGCAAATTGATCATGGCCATAAGCCAATGATACACATAAGGTCGAGTCTTGACATCATAAGCTTAGACCCTTCATCCTTAGGAATATCACAAATTGCTTCTTCGGGATATGCACGAAGGCTTTGCAACCAAACACCCGCAAATGATCATAGGAAACATCCTTTCCTAACCATACTCTCTCTGGAGTATCATACTCTAGAGGGAAACAGGGTGAACAGCGAACTACTGTGAGTAACGCTTCACCCCAAATTTTTTAGACAACTTTGCATGTGAGAGTAAAACATCTGACACTCTCCGTCAAAGTTTTGTTCATCCTCTCAGCCAAACTGTTCAGTTGCGGCGTCTTGGGAGGTGTCGTTTGATGTCGAATGCCATGCCCTTTGCAGAAAGCATCAAATGGCCCAGTGTATTCTCCACCATTATTTATCCTGATACACTTCAGCTTCTTGCCTGTTTGTCTCTCAACCAGGTTTAGAAGACTTCAATGTGTATACCCAGGTCTTCCTAGAATGGTCATCGATAAACTTCAAAGTGTATACCCAGGTCTTCCTAGAATGGTCATCGATAAATGTAACGAAGTATCGATTTCCACCATATGACACCGTCAATGGTCAACACAGATCTGAATGTACCAGATCTAATACATTCTTCATTCTAGAAGGAGGGGTAATCTTAAAAGCTACTCTGTTGAGCTTTCCTGCCATACAATCAGGACACTTGTCTAGGTGAACTTTATCCAATCCAGGATTTCTCTAAATGGACTTTATCCAAACCAGGTAGCATGTTGTTTTTAACCAGAGTTGTCATTCCTTTCTCACTCATGTGGCCTAGTCGTTTATGCTACAATTCAACTGCACTGTCATCCTCTGCTACATTAAAAGCATCTCGGGAGAGCTTCGCATGCATCACATACAGCTTTAGATCTTTCTTTCCATTTGCTATCACCATGGAACCTTTTGTGAGCTTCCACTTGCCATTTCTGAAGGTGCTACAGAAATTTTCATCATCAAGTCTGCCAACCGAGATTAAATTTGAATGCATGTCTGGTACATGCACGACATCTTTTAAAATTAATCTCGAACCATTTCTGTCCTCCAGGCAGATATCTCCTTACGACGACTTTCCAACGAGTTACGTCTGCTATCTTGACCACACCAATTTCTGGTGTGTAAGAATGAAAAATTCTCTCTCCGGGATGCTTGCATGAAGTGTAGCCCCACTTAATCAATTACCAACTGGTCCCTGGGTTGCAGATGATAGTGTCCCAATGAACAGTTTGGAACTCACGCAAATAACCATTGGCTTAATGCAATCACGCTTTTCTTCTTCTTTGCCTTGCTTGATCTTCCCTGATCAATTTGAAAACTTCCGGCATGACTTTATGTGCCCCTTCAATTCCCACAATGATGGCAAACACAATAGTTGGGCAGAATTTTGTTTGATCGTCTTTGCTGCTTATTTATTGTATTTGAATTCTAGATTGGCTTCCTCCCTCTAGGCTGATTATTCTTAGCATCTGCTAAAAAAATGTCTGACCTGAAGATGAAAGAAGGATTCTGTGCTTTACGTCTCATTTCTCAATTCAACAACAAGCATTTTAACAAATTCCCAGCTAACTCCACTATGTGGTGTAGAGTTGGTTATTGATATCTTCAAAGTCTCCCATGACTCTAGTAAGGAGGCAAGCACCATAAGGCTGAGGATTTTATCATCAAATTTTATGCCCATATTTGACAGCTAGTAAATAATCGCCTGCATTTCACTCAAATGATCTGCTACAGAAGTACCTTCTCAGTATTTGAAATTCATCAGCTTCGTCAAATAGAACAACTGGTTGTTGCCGGATTTTGAGACATATAGCTGTTCAAGTTTGTCCCATAATGTTCTGGAATGAGTTTCATTACAAATGTGGTTGTACACATTATCATCGACAAATTGTCGAATATAGCCGCAAACTTGCTCATGCTCAAAAGCCCATTCTTCATCAGTCTTGTCTTTCATCAGTCTGTCTTCCGTTTGCTTGAACAAAACACAGGCAATGCATTTTGGGTTACCATAAGGAGAATCTCTCATTTTATTTCTCCATAAATGGTAAATTTGCGCCATTTTAGACTGATCATTTTTGCTGTTCTAGTTCCATGACTTTTTAAGTGAATAGTAACACCGTATAATATGGAATAGTACCAGTATAAATGAGAATAGTAACTGTACACGGTGAAAGTACCTATATGTTGTTGAAATAGTTCTATACGGTGAATAGTAAACCTTGTATGTGTGAATAGTACTATACGTGAATAGTGCTGGGCTTAACAGTGAACGGGCTCAAGCAACGTCAATAGTAACTATTCACTTACGAGTTACTATTTTTACTATTCCATCACTAAAGTCGATTTTGCAACGTCTTTCCGAGGCGGACTGCACCAACGGACTCGTCCGTAATTTTCTCGTCTTCGTGGTATAGTTTAATTTTCAGAAATATATCAACAGATACCGGTAAACCGGCTATCTGACCAGGGCTGAACAGCCTTCGATACCAAACTTGTTAGGATACCGGCAATAAAATATACGAGATAATTACGGCATGCGGAAAAATTTAAAAAAATGGGACAAGTAAAATTTACGTGGTTCACCCCAACTATTTAAAGGCTAGCGTCCACGGGACAACTCCAAATATTTCTTCACTATTAAAAACATAGTAGTTTTTTACAAAAGAGAGTAATACAAAACTAGTGGTAAAATCAACACGTGTTTTCCAAAACACCCTAATAAATCTTCACTATTTCTAAAATCCCGTAGTTTTAAGAAAACCCTTTTGCTTAAAACTCAAAAACACTCTCTAATTAGGTCTCACTTGTTTGGTGTCTGCTGAATGCTCCTGCCTCTATTTATAGGCTAAAGATTTTTGAGAGAGCCGTGCATTTGCTCATGCACGTGCTCCTGCCTCTATTTATAGGCAAAGATTTGAGAGAGCCGTGCATTGCTCATGCACGGCTCTTCATTATTTTCAACTGGCATGCCAACCATTCAATGGTTAGTTGTCAACCTTTGATTTTTTTTTTTTCTTTTCATAATTGTGTGGGTCCCACTTGAGTGAGCACACCACCACCAACACTATCCGCTGCTATTGATCTACAACCGGCGAAGCTTATAAGCAATGGGAGAGTTAGAGTCAAAGACCAAATAATTCATAACGGCAAACTTCGTTGTTGATCTATAGAGCAAGCCAAGGAGATGTTATGGTGATAGGGAGACGAGACTGGGTAGGCAAAAAGGAAAAGGAAAGGAGGCTCTTCGAAGCAATTCAATCCAATTACTAAGTTTTAGACTGATTCTTAATTGGAACCCAGTCAGACCGTCGTCTTCTGCATCATCGTCAGAATCTTTATTCTGCCTTTTTCGTCGATCAGTCCTGCTCTCGCTTTTGATATCGACGGTAATGGTTCTCCTTTGGGCTTTTGAGGGTTCACGTACAAGGTTCATATCTCATAGAGATAGTTTTTGATCTAACGGCATTGAGAAGCCATGTTGGACATGCACTCACTCGGGGAACAAGATTTATATGTCCACTCCCCAAAACGCGATTGAATGTGACTTTGAGGCTTGTTTAACTTTCCTACACACTTTAGCTGCGAGTTTAAGATGTAGATCTATCACCTCATATCTGATAATTTGCATATATAGGCACATAGGTAATTCAGTAACTATGAAAATTCACTTCTGTTATAATATATTCGTATTTAATGTGACTTGTTAAAAAAAAATTCTTTTTTTTATTAATTACTCTTTATTTTTTAATATCATTATTTATTGACAATAGTTTACCTACTTTCAAATTCATGTTAAACTATTTTAGATAATTAATTAATTTTATTTAATGTAAAAAGTCAATAATAGATTATCGAGTATATTTCATATTAAAATAAAAATATAACGAGAAAAATACATATAAATTTATGTTTCCAACTAAAATAATTATTTTTTAAATTCTTATGAAATAAAAAGTGTGTCTATAAATTAAAATGAGAAAAAAGAATATAAAAATAATAAATTGTGATAATATTCATGTATTTATAAGATTATAATAATTTTGTTGATAATAAAAAAGGGTTCTATTTTTTTAGATGTGAGAAATTATTTCTTATTTCTTAAAAAATGACTAATTTTTTATTTTATCTACAAAATATTTTTATTTATTTATTTTTTTAACACCTCAAATATCAAAAAATCTATAAAATACTTTTCAAATAAATCTAAAGTATTTTTTTTACACACTCGTCAAATAAAAAATAAATTTAGAAATTCCATTTTTTTTTTAATTTCTTTTTCAGGCGAATTGTTTTCCTTCTTAGTTCTCAACAATTGTTGCCGCTGAGCTCAGAGATAAATTCCGACGTCGTTTGTAAGGACCTCAATCCCAGTCCATTTTTTGACTGTCTTACAACAATCGCTGGCACCGCAGCCCGGCGAAAAATTCAGTCTTTTTGTTCTTTACAACTTAAGGTACTAACTCTCTCTCTCTCTCTCTCTCTCTCTCTCTCTCTCTCTCTCTCTCTCTCAAAAGACTTGGGGGCTTCTTTTTCATAGCATAGCTGCAAAATGAGTGAGATAAATTGATTTTTTTTTTCTTTTCCAAAAACAGCTCTTTGCCTCTTGGGTTGATTGCTTTTTACGAATTGATTATTATGTTAACATAAAGTATTGCAATTTATACTAAAAAGACAATATATATTCTAAATAATTTGTAATATATAAAGCGGGCATTGAGTGTTTATTGGTTGATTTGGTTTACAACTGTTCTTTATCAGTTAGATTTTGATAAATTTCAGTGCCTACCTTGCTGTGCTGTATCTTTGCAGTTGTCCTCTTATCTTAGTGTTGTTCTGCTATGGCAGCTGCAAATCCTTCTTCTATGGAGATTTTAGGTACTTCAATAAAAACAATTGTTATCTTTGCCTACAACAATTAATAGGTGTTGTTCTTATGTTTTTCTTGTACTTCTCTCTTTTCAGTTCGAGGGCCAGAAGGATTCTGTATCTGGACTGGGCCACCATTTGGCAATGGTGAACCTAGTATCAAACTTGAGAGGGTTCCTTGCAACAATGCAACATTCAGTGAAGATGGGTCCAAGCTTATTGTTATGAAATCTGATTCTGTCATTAGCATATATGATTGTAGCAGCTTTAAGGAGATTAGATCTTTCCAAGTTTCCAATGTTCTTGCTGCTGCATTGTCCCCTTGTGGGACTTATCTTCAAACTTTTCAGAAATCTTTGACGCCACAGGATAAGAATGTGGTCTTATGGAAGATAGAGACTGGTGATGCTGTACATCATCATTTTCAAAAAAACATGACTAAAACTACATGGTACTTTTAAAGTTTTACAAAATTTAATTTAGCTCTCCCCATCCCCTTTTTTGTGCAACTGTGGTTGTTTCCTCAAAATTTTGAATTAGTACTTCCTTAGAAATTATCAAAATAGGTCATTAAAAATTTTTTCTTCTTCTTGAGATAATTTCTTTTTCTTTTTTTTTTTTTTTTTTGTATTAAAAATTTTTTCTTCCTCTTGAGATAATTTTCTTTTTTCTTTTTTTTTTTTTTTTTTTTTTTTTTTTTTTTGGTCTTCCTATGTGTTTATGTGATTGGAGATTTAAGTCATTTTCATAACATTCGAATTTGTTTGCACCTTCCAATCAGGCCATCAATCCGATTCAGTTCTGATGAAGTGGTTGCTTGTCGGATGGCAACAAATGAGATACAATTTTTTGATCCTACAGACTTCTCAAAAGGAACTGTACATCGCCTAAGAATTCCTGGGGTGGCTGCATTTGCACTTTCGATGGTCCCAGGGTCACACGTAGCAGCATTTGTTCCAGAATCTAAGGTTTGTGCTCTGTGCTTCAATGCTGAGTTTGGACACTGGTCTCTATCCTCACTGTAAGAGAGATAACCTATAATAAATGGAAGCTAATCATATCTAAGATGTAAAATTTATTGTGCTGCAATTTTCCTTTTCACGGAAACTCTTGAAAAATTTTTCTGTCTGCATGGTTAATTATCTTGCTGAAAATTTGACTATTCTCTTCTGTTTCCATCACGATCAAATAGAGATCCTGAAACAGTTATTTTTGCTAAAACACTTGAATTTGTCTGCTAACAGGTCCATGTTTGGTTCACACTTCAAAATTCTGGGAATTTTGATTTGATATTTCATGGTCTACAATAGTTTGAACTTAGGAAGTTAGGGGTTCAGTTGATTTTCTTGGATTATTATAATAAGTTTCACATAATGAAATTCTCAATGCATGTGAGGCCTTAGCAAATCCAACATGTGGCTTACTATAAATTACCTAGGTGATTTACTTCTTTCTCAGCTAGAACACAAAATTTAACTGATGATTTCCATATTTTTGTTTTGATTGCATTTTCATTTTGATATATAAGTTCACTTTTTGATTGTATAGGGAAGTCCAGCCAGTGTTCAGATATTTGCCTGCGGGAAAGATATGCAAACTCAGCCTGTTGCTCGACGAAGCTTTTTTCGATGTTCTACTGTGCAACTGAATTGGAATCGGGGTTCCACTGGGCTTCTGGTTGTGGTGCAGTCAGATGTTGATAAGACCAATCAAAGTTATTACGGAGAGTCGAAGCTCAACTACCTTACAACTGATGCGACCCATGAAGGGCTTGTACCTCTTCGTATGTCTGGCTTAACTGTTGAGTTATTTTGATTACAGGCAGCTGCTAATTGTTGGATTTATTGACAGGCAAGGAGGGACCCATTCATGATGTTCAGTGGTCATATTCTGGTTCACATTTTGCTGTTGTTTATGGATGTATCCTTCTCTCTCTGCATCTGTGTGTCTATTATGTACACTATTGTAAACTTTTATTGCATGTATTTGTTGGCACATATTTTGCACATATGCAGTTTAACGGAATTTTTGTTAAAGACTTGTATTGTTGGATGCATGCTATAGTTGTTGGGTAAGTTGATCTTATCTCATGGTCCATGGGATCTAGTAAGCGAAAGTGGTTAGTTTTGATGTGATACTTCTAAAATTGTTCTTCAAACCTTTTGATTGGAAAAGCGTGAAAACTTTATGTGAGAAGCTTTCATGTCCAAAGGGACAAATTCGTTTGGTGATGGTGAGGATTACATGCGCTTGCATTCTATAGAATGGGGTTTCTCACTGGTTGATCAAGTATCATGTGATTCATGTCTCTGCATTCACTATGATGCTTAAGAATTAATATGTTGATTCTGAGGATCACAAAGATCTTGATTTCCTTCAGTCTGGAATTCAATGTGAGTGCTTCTTTTACAAGTTATTTGACAACTGACATAAAATTAGAATATTTTGTGTTATTCACGAACATTCTTTGATAGCATTTCATAATTTTTGTTTGCTTCCAAAGTATTGTGCTTCCCTTAATCTATTTCAGTCATGCCTGCAAGTGCGACATTGTTTGATAAGAAGTGCAATCCTCTACTGGAGCTTGGAACAGGCCCTTACAATACTGTCAGATGGAACCCAAAAGGGAAATGTATCCTTGAAATGAAAATTTGTGCCCCTTGCATTAATTTTGTATAAGTTGATTAACTTGAAGCACTTATTAGCCATTCTTTTGACTTTATAATTTGCAACCTTAATTCTTTTGTTCACAGTTCTGTGCTTGGCTGGCTTTGGTAACTTACCTGGTGATATGGTATGTAAGTTTAGGATGCTTATTTTCTGGTGTTTTTATTGTCTTTAGGATCTTCACTTGGAACTAGGAAGTTACACTTATTTCCTTTGTTGACATCCATTATCAAATGTATAAAAGGAATTCACGTTTTATCACTTGGAACTAGGAAGTTACTCGTATTTCCTTTATTAACATCCATTATCAAATGTATAGAAGGAAATCACATTTTTTCACTGGCCTGGTTCATCAATCAAATGCTAACTTGAGACTTAATGCACCATCCACTGACTTATTTCTCATTAAAATGTTATTTTTGTCTCATACCTACTTTTTTTGTTAAAAAAAAAAGAATTCATGCAACGTATTTGTAACTTTACACCCTTCTCCTACAAGCAATAAAAAGAAAAAGAAAAGCTATCAATTTGCTATATGTACCATATTAAGTTACGGTAGTGAGAATCGACACATCAGGTCTACTGGATACTTTCTCATTAAAATGCTGCATCGTGCTTGTATGTGCTGGTTTTGTTGTGCACCTTAGTGGTAACTTGATGCCCTTCTCTCAGAGACAATAGAGAAGAAGAAAAACTGTTACCTTTCAATCCTATATATCTGTGTCTATTTTCTGCTTGTGACTCCAACAAAATGATTGAGTTCTTTCTTATACTTTATTTTATGTCTAATTATGTTTAGGCATTTTGGGACTACGTGAACAAAAAACAACTTGGAACAACTAGGGCAGAATGTTCTGTGACTAGTGAGTGGTCTCCAGATGGACGTTATTTCATGACTGCCACAACAGCACCGAGACTACAAGTTGACAATGGGTATGCTGATCATTGGTGTCCTTAAGCAATTTTATGCAGGTCTAGTTATCCATGGACCATGGTTGCTTTTTAATAAGATTTGTGACAGATCATTGCATGCTTGTTTGGATAGAAATTTGGTACTCACCGTCATAGTAATAATTTGGTTATTTTTGTGTATCCAGTAATTATACTGTTATCATTATTATTTTGAGAAAAAAAGTGTTCTGGTTCATGTTTACATATTTTCTCACTTCTGGTTTATAATATATAGGGTAGATGCTCTACTTTTGAAAAGATTTACATTGTTTGTCCGTGAGGTGAAGGATCTTGATAATAGACTCGCCTTTTTAATCGAGATTCAGTTCTTTACTGCCTACTAATGCTTACCTGATTTTGTTGAAGCTCTGAGCTGCCATGATCAATAATCCTTTGTTCAGAGGAATGGTTTTGAGTGCAATAGTAAATGGTGCTAAAACTATTAGTGTAAATCTTTTACCATTCTTGAAATACATTTAGAAGTTTCTCCTTTATGCTTTTGATGGAATAGTTTAAGCAGTGCTATTAAGCCCGGTGCTTAAACTTCTACTGTGCAATAGAGGCATGTGCAATTCTATAGGTTTTTGGTTAATGTATATGTTACATGAGATTATATGCCCATGGTTCAAGAACTTATTTCGCTGATGTTTTTGAAGGATTAAGATTTTCCACTATGATGGATCATTGTACTTCAAAAAAATGTTTGACAAGCTATACCAGGTTGGCATCTAAGAATGTTGGATTTCTGCACTAATCTTCTGTTAGCTTTGTCTTGCTCAACCTTTGATTATATGCAGGCTGAGTGGAAACCAGAATCACCAGATAGATTTGGTGAAATTGCAGAACTTGTGAAATCTGTTGATTCATTAAAGGTTGAAGAAACCAAACCACAAGGTTCTATCCTTTGTTTAGTACCTTGAAACTCGATCAATTTCTAGAAGCCTTTGCATATAAATGTTTGGTTCCTTAAGACATTCTTAATTTTTATCAGGACAAGGGTTAACCTCCAAGAAAACTGCTCCTGTCAATCCTCCTGCTCAAAAACCTGCTGCCTATCGCCCGCCACATGCTAAAAATGCAGCTGCTGTTCAGGCAGAGGTATAAAAGAACCACTGAACTTTTTAATTAAGAAGTTTGTTTCTTAGAATCATGGGTCAGGATAAGAATGATTAGACATACTGTTTGGTAAAGTATGAGACAGTTTGCTTTGTGTTAAGGAGGGTGATTGAATTGTTTACAGAAATCTTTGTACAAAATTGTTTGGTAGAGTATGAGACAGTTATCCTCCCCGATAACTGCTTACAGAAACCTTTGCACACCAATTTGATAGCAAGGGTAGCGTCTGTTGAAGATTAGGACTACTTTGCATACAATATCCTTTTAATTTCATAGGAAATAGATGGTATACTTTAAACTCTTTGAAAATAACATGTTGTGGGACTAAAGTACAGATTTATGCTGTTCAACTGAATTCTGTTAATTGTCTTGCTGATATTAATGATTTTAATATTTTGCAATTGCAGTTGTTTGGAGGGAACACTACCGAGTAAGTACAGATTCTATTTACATGTTTCTATAAACTCTTACATTTTCATGTTGTTAAAATGCTCATCAATGTATACCATTAACTTTAGGCAAATGAGCAAGAACGCACTGAAAAACAAGCAGAAAAGAGAGAAACAGAAGGCCAAGAAGGCTGCTGAGGCTGCTGCCGGGAGTTCCTGATCAGATGCAAATGTGCTATATGTAGCTCCATTCAAGAGGGAGTGGTGCAGGTTCTGATAAAGCTTGCGCTGGATCAAATCTTATCGTAGAAATTTTCTTACTTTTGGCTTTTTGATGATAGTGTGAGGTGATCTAATAGAGCACAAGTATATAAGCATGTGAAAGGTGTTTTCATGTGTTCAAATTTTCCCATATGGCAAAGATGCATTTACATACACAAATAGTTTCAGTGTTGCAGTCATGTGGAGGTCTAGTATGAAATTTTATGATTGTAACAGTTTTGTGGGGTCTAATGACTATTTACAAACAAGTTGATGGATCATATTTTGTTATATTTAGGACCATGCATGATAAATCCCAATCATAAATTCAAGAAAAAAAAAAATAATAATTACATCTACATTTCATAGTTTCATTGTAAAATTTGATTTTCAAGCTTTTAGTAGCTGTGAAGTTCAGAAGTTCCACTGATATCTTTTTTTTATCACTATTCACAGTTGTGCAATTCTTGCTTTTTATGGTGTTTCGAATGTCGTTTTCTGTTTTCCCCATCGCCCTAGGCACATAAAATTTATATTCTTACTTGTTATGTTTTTATTTAAGCATTTCAACTTTATTTTTTATCAATTAAGTGTATAAATGGTTTTTTTATTAATTATATTTCTTGATTTTTTTCACTGTTTTTTTGTCGTTTCTTTTCAAAAAGAAAAAAAAAATCTCCAAAATTCCTTATAATTTTCTTTTTATTTTCAAAATCAAATTAAGATGAAATAAAATAAATAGAGAAGCTATAAAAAATAAAGTAATAAGATACAAATAGAGAGATAATTGTTAATATAAAGAAATCAATAGAGTAAAACATTCGGGTAAAAAAAAAATCTACTTTGATGTTCTAGAAAAAAATGCAGCCAAATACATCTAATTGTATAATTCTATCATTTCAAACACCTGATACACAAATTTTAATAAAGCAAAGTCACTAATAGCGACATTGGTTCATACTTTATATAATCGGAAAGACACAAACCTAATGCTTGTGAAAAGTGGATTCGGCTGAAAAATAGGAGACCTCAATCAAATTTTCACATGAATACAGATGATGCCCAAAAATGCTTGGTCTACTTTAAAGCCAAACAAACGCAATTAGAAACAGATCCAAAGTAGAAAACACAGCATCTCAGTAGTGTTTAGCAGTTGATGCATCAATGGAGAACTCCATAAAGCATTTTTGTTTGATTCTAAAGCTAGTGCTACATCATGCTGCAGGCTTCAAAAACTACAACCGAGCCAAGAACAACTCTGGTTTAGTAACTCAAAATTTAACGGCGGTCGTCCACGTACCCTGCACACTAGGATGTGTTGTCACATGCCTTGTCCTTAGTTTTACTACTTTTCTTCCCAGAGAATTCCTTAGCCTGGTGGCTTGTAGTAGTACATCTTCTGGAGTCAGATTCTTCACGCATACTACCCTCTCGTTCTTGTTCTCTGTTCATATGGTGAGCCAAAAAAGATTGAGGATTTAGTATGTGCATGAACACACCATACAACATATTGGGAATAGACACGGGGACGTAAGCACAAATACACGGGAAGAGAGACAGACTACTTACTGTAAAAGCCCTTCAAGCATGGATGTTGCCCACGATTGAGCTCAGTAATCACCTCCAATTGAGGATTTACCTCTTTAAATGCTGGGAGATGCGACTCCATAAATTGCCTGCCACATTTGATAAAGACTTGTGTTCAAGGAAAATGTCAAACCGACTACTAGATTTAAAGCATTGCTGGGGAGTCAAATGACACGAGTACGTGAACCAATTACCAGGAAAATCAAGAATAATGCTACGAGCATCAAGGAAAACCAAACAGACAAACACTGCTACTTGGGACATCTATCAATTAATATGAAGAACCAAGTTCACTTGTTATTCTATCCCATCACTAATTAATTTTACTTTTTAACATCATTATTTACAAATTTTCACATGCCTAGTTATCAAAATTCTCTATCAACTTTATAATTGGATAATTGGGAGCCAGCTTGTGTACTAATAAGCTTGTCCTACTTAAAATAACCTAGAACAGAAGAAGTGAGATAAGCTAAATTAAGTACTACCATGCCTTCTTCACCTTTACAATTTCCATCTGTCTATCTATGTGAAGCAGGAAAAGGAAAAACTTCCAAACTATGCATCTAGAAGTTAAAAGGACATTTGATTGTATATATGAAAAATATTAGTAATAAATAGATTTGATTAAATCTCAAAGAATAAGTAAATTCGATAAACTTTTTTTCTTGTTCTATAGAAGCGAAATACTCTTTAAGAAATGAGATATAATAGTTTCAATGAAGCCGATTCATTACATTACTCGAAAAATGGAATAGACAAGTAATCCTGCATGTTAGTTAATTGATCTACTAAAGAAATAAACCATATAGAAAATTAAGAGCAACTCTTTCCAGCAGAATATTTTACAAAACTGATAATGGGATTACTCAAAATAACTTTTCGAGATCAAAGAATAACAGAAGCTTAAAACCAATTCAACACAACAGGACAACATTCAGTTTCATATCAAATGATACAAAATTTCTGAGCTACAATTTAAGGTCGGGTATGCCTCTATCTTCTCAATCCATCACAAAGAAGTACACCCATAGCTAGACCTCATTTTTAACATTTTAATTTAACATTAAAAGCTTATAATTTCAAAATCATACCTTATGCCCCTACTGCTTCCTCCCCAGTCACAATAGCTCACAACCAGCTTTTGAAGTTGCCAAACACCTCTCAAAGCCATCTATAACATTCAAAAATCAGTAAAGTAGGGAAAACGAAAATAAGTACAGGATAAAGAAATTAAAGAGAAGGATAATTTCCAAACACAAATTCTTTTTGTCATCTAATAAAAGGATATGGTGATTTTTTAATAAAAATTCTTATCGAAAGGCTAGCGTCAAAAACAGATCGAAGTAAACAAAAAGGGGGAAAAAAAAAAGGATGAGAGTTCACAAACCTGGAAGACACGAGTGGGAGAGAAGAAGAAGAAGAAGAGGAACGGGCAGCAGATGGTCGAGACGGCTAAGAACTGTGAGAACTGTAGTAGAAAATTGAATAAGGGGTTTCGTTTTCGTTGCAGTGCACGTCAGTAATCTTACAAAACAGAAACTACGTCGTTTTGAGGCTGCTCCGATTTAAATGAGTTGAAACCCTGAAGGCAAAAATGGCCCGTGGACTGTGGTTTTTAAATAATTCCTCTAATGCTTTTATAAATTTATTCGTATATAAATTTTAAATAAAATTAACCAATAGAAATTTTTGCCAATTTGAAATACCTAATTTGATTATATTTAAAATTTTTATGTTTCGAATGAATTTAGAATTGAATTTCTAGAACATCCTTAATTGAGAAAGAAATGGAACAAGAGAAAAAAGTAGGTTTTTTTTTTTTTCTTGAAAAAAAAGAAAGACGATATAAACAATTTTTATCAATAAATTTGGTTTTTTTTTTTAAATCATTTATTCCAAAGGTGATTATTCTGAATTTAAATGATGACATTTTAATTAATAATTTCTATTTGTTAAAAAAGAAATAAAAATAATATTCATATTTTTAAATAACAAAATTTATCTTTTTATTTTGGCTTCAATAGCCAAAATCTTTGGTAAATGGAAAAAAAAAGAGAAAAATACAATAAGATTCTTGTGGATTGCAAAATACAATTAATCCGTCACTGTTTTTTTTTTAAATAGATTAAAATATTTTTATAATTTACTTTTATAAAGTCCTTCCGTCCAATTTTTATATTTTTTCTGTCAAGTACCTTATGAAATGACGAAAATATACATTTTATTTTTACAAATATGAATTAGTTATTTTTTTCAAATTACAGAGATCATACCGTAAAAATGAAAAAAAAAAAAAGAGCACTCAAGATATGGACATCGCATGTTAATTAATTTCTGCCAGAACGCAAGAACATGTCCATTATCAAGAAGAAAACCATAGCCGCAGCAACAATCCCTATTGCTCCTGTAATTCTCTCTGCGGCCACCGGCTTCTTGTTGCGAAGCCAAAAGCTAAGCAAGAGGAAAAGAAAAGCTATAGCATTGACGACCACAATAACATCCATCAGGGGCGGCGCAGCTAATGAGGAAACCGTCGGAGCATAAGCAATGAAAGAAGCATTTGCAGAACCAGTGAGTCCTAAGGATATTTCTCATAGCTTAATGTTGGAGTAGTTTGGATCCTTTTTACCAAGATGTAAAATTCGGATCTTTCTCTTTTTGCAACCTTCTGAATGATCTGTTCTTGCCATCATCTATAGGGATGCAAAAGCTGTCCAAGCGCTTTTCGTGCTCCTCTCCTGAAATGAAACCATCACCGTTTGTATCAAAGATATCGAAGCACTCCTTCAATAAAAGTGTCCGATCACCGTCGTCTTCTTCCCCGAATTCTTGAAACCAATCGTCTTCATCGCCTTTAGGAACTTGAAGAATATTTGGAATCGGGATCTTGCTGTCAGTTTCAAAGAAAATTAAAAAAAAAAAAATTAACAATTTCAGAACAAGAAAGTTTACTTGGCTAAGCCCCTCAAGGCAACGTTGTCCCATGCATAATCACAAAAATTTACTAAAAATAACACAAAAATTTCACATAATTATCACGATACTAATCAAACCAATCAACCAATATATAATCACACACTAATATAATCAAACCAACCAAACCAATATTCACAGAAAAATGGGACCTTTTGATCTCGTCAATACTGATACTGGAATCCAGGGCCACGCTAAGAGGGCAGTTTCTGAGCTCCTCCGCTGAAAGTTTTCCATCACCGTCTTGAAGAATATTTGGAATCAGGATCTTGCAGTCGGTTTCAAAGAAAATTAAAAAAAAAATTAACAATTTCAGAACAACAAACTTTGCTTGGCTAAGCCCCTCAAGGCAATGTTGTCCCATGCATAATCACAAAAATTTACTAAAAATAACACAAAAATTTCACATAATAACCAAGATACTAATCAAACCAATCAACCAATATAATCACACACTAATATGATCAAACCAACCAAACCAATATTCACAGAAAAATGGAACCTTTTGATCTCGTCAATACTGATACTGGAATCCAGGGCCACGCTAAGAGGGCAGTTTCTGAGCTCCTCCGTTGAAAGTTTTCCTCCGCTGAAAGTCTTCATATCTACAAACATTCTATTAAGGACGGAAACAGAATTCAATCAATTATTTTCAGAAGACTTCCATCGAAGACCTTCCATGCGTTTGCCATGTCTCTTGTTTTAGCCTTAATCATATAATAATAGCTAGTTATTATATGGATATCGCATGTTAATTAATTTCTTCCAGAAGGCAAGAACATGCCCATTATCAAGAAGAAAACCATCGCCGCAGCAACAATCCCTATTGCTCTTGTAATTCTCTCTGCGGCCACCGGCTTCTTGTTGCGAAGCCAAAAGCTAAGCAAGAGGAAAACAAAAGTCATAGCGTTGACGACCACAATAACATCCATCAGGGGTGGCGCAGCTGATGAGGAAACCGTCGGAGCATAAGCAATGAAAGAAGCATTTGCAGAACCAGTGAGTCCTAAGAATATTTCTCGTAGCTTAATGTTTGAGTAGTTTGGATCCTTTTTACCAAGAAGATGTAAAATTGGGATCTTTCTCTTTTGCAACCTTCTGAATGATTTGTTCTCGCCATCATCTATAGGGATGCAACAGCTGTGCAAGCACTTTTCGTGCTCCTCTCCTGAAATGAAACCATCACCGTTTGTATCAAAGCGCTCCTCCAATAAAAGTGTTCCATCGCCTTGAAGAATATTTGAAATCGGGATCTTGCTGTCAGTTTCAAAGAAAATTAAAAAAAAAAATAACAATTTCAGAACAAGAAACTTTACTTGGCTAAGCCCCTCAAGGCAATGTTGTCCCATGCATAATCACAAAAATTTACTAAAAATAACACAAAAATTTCACATAATAACCACGATGCTAATCAAACCAATCAACCAATATAATCACACACTAATATAATCAAACCAACCAAACCAATATTCACAGAAAAATGGGACCTTTTGATCTCGTCAATACTGATACTGGAATCTAGGGCCACGCGAAGAGGACAGTTTCTGAGCTCCTCCGCTGAAAGTTTTCCATCACCGTCTTTATCAAACTTTCAAAGCACTTCTCCATATCGAATGTTGTCATTTTACAAGAGGAATTTTTTAAAAATCCAATGCCCCAAAATGTTTTGCATATCTCTTTTAACTGTCTTGAAAATCTCTTACAGTGATTAAACTAGAATTGCTAAGAATTTTCATCTTCCAATCAAAATACTGTGAAAAAAAGTGTCAAATTAAACAAATATGCAGGAGGATTAGACCTTCTCAGCATCAAATTTGCTTTTTTGATGAAGTATATTTTTTGGGTTACTCAAAAAAATAGAATGTCTAAGCATATAATTAATTATAAAAAATTTTGTTGTGATAACATAAAGACAAAATAAAAAGAAAAGCAAAGACATTTTTGAAAGATGGAGTATACCCATTTCTTATATATTGTTTCTTCATTGTGAACAAAGGAATTTTCGAAAAATTCAATTGCCCCAAAATGTTTTGCATATCTCTTTTGACTGCCTTGAAAATCTCTTACAGTGATTAAACTAGTGTTTGCATATGCTCTTGACTGCCTTGAAATCTCTTTTACCAGTGGATAAAACTGAGAATTGCTAGGGAATTTTAGTCGTTTCAATCAAAATACCGCGAAGAAAAGGGTGGTCAAATTAAACAAAGTATACAGCGAGGAACTTTGACCTTCTCAGCAGTTCAATTTTGTTTCTTCATTGTGAACAAAGGAATTTTCGAAAAATTCAATTGCCCCAAAATGTTTTGCATATCTCTTTTGACTGCCTTGAAAATCTCTTACAGTGATTAAACTAGAATTGCTAGGAATTTTAGTCTTTCAATCAAAATACCGCGAAAAAAGTGTCAAATTAAACAAATATACAGGAGGATTTGACCTTCTCAGCATCAAATTTGCTTTGTTGATGAAGTATATTTTTTGGGTGTTACTCCAAAAAATAGTATGTCTAAGCATATAATTGATTATAAAGAATTTCGTTGTGATAACATAAAGAGAAATAAAAAGAAAAGCAAAAACATTTTTGAAAGATGGAGTATACCTATTTCTTATATATTGTTTCTTCATTGTGAACAAAGAAATTTTTGAAAAATCCAATGCCCCAAAATGTTTTGCATACCTCTTTTGACTATCTTGAAAATCTATTACACTGATTAAACTAGAATTGCTAGGAATTTTCGTCTTCCAATCAAAATACTGTGAAAAAAGTCCCAAATTAAACAAATGTGCAGGAGGATTTGACCTTCTTAGCATCAAATTTGCTTTGTTGATGAAGTATATTTTTTGGGTGTTAGTCAAAAAAATAGGATGTCTAAGCATATAATTGACTATAAAGAATTTCGTTGTGATAACATAAAGGGAAATAAAAAGAAAAGCAAAAATATTTTTGAAAGATGGAATATACCATTTCTTCTTATATATTGTTTCTTTATTGTGAACAAAGTAATTTCCGAAAAATCCAATGGCCCCAAAATATTTTGCATATCTCTTTTGACTGTTTTGAAAATCTCTTACAGTAATTAAACTAGAATCGTTAGGAATTTTCTTCTTCTAATTAAAATACAGTGAAAAAAGTGTCAAATTAAATAAATATACAGGAGGATTTGACCATCTCAGCATCAAATTTGCTTTATTGATAAAGTATATTTTTTGGGTGTTACTCCAAAAAAAGGATGTCTAAACATATAATTAATTATAAACAACTTCGCTGTGATAACGTAAAGAGAAATAAAAAGAAAAGCAAAAACATTTTTGAAATATATAATATACTCATTTCTTATATATTGTTTCTTCATGTGAACAAAGGAATTTTTGAAAAATCCAATGGCCCCAAAATGTTTTGCATATCTCTTTTCATTGTTTTGAAAATCTCTCATAGTAATTAAACTAGAATTGCTAGGAATTTTCGTCTTCCAATCAAAATGCTGTGAAAAAAAGTGTCAAATTAAACAAATATGCAGGAGGATTTGACCTTCTGAGCATCAAATCTGCTTTGTTGATGAAATATATTTTTGGGTGTTACTTCAAAAAATTGGATGTCTAAGCATGTAAATTGATTATAAAGAATTTCGTTGTAATAACATAAAGAGAAATAAAAAGAAAAGCAAAAAACATTTTTGAAAGATAGAGTATACATAATTCTAATTTATTGTTTCTTCATTGTGAACAAAGGAATTTCTGAAAAATCCAATGGCTCCAAAATGTTTTGCATATCTCTTTTGTCTGTCTTGAAAATCTCTTATAGTGATTAAACTAGAATTGCTAGGAATTTAAATTATTAATAATTACTTGAAACATTATCTCAGGAGGGATCCCATTTTTATCAGATCGTTCCCTCCATAGGTGAGAACAAACAAGGATTCTACATTATCATTCACAAACTCTAAAAATGATTTCCCCAAGTTTGGTAAAACATAATAGGTTTCACTTTCAATCTCAGAAGCAAAAAGGAATTTTTCTATAACGTTCGGAATACCAGTTGAGAATTTTTCAACTGGGTTATGCATCAAGGAAAACCAACTTGAAGATCAAATTCTTCTTCATGTAAGGCTATTATCTAGCCATATACTTTTGGTTGTAATACGTAAGTTTCCTCATAATAAAACCTTATTGATTTATTAACTTCAATTTTCTTTTTCTTTTTCGATCAACATTACTAGATCATCGCAAAGAAATTTAAGCCTTTTTCTTATCTCCTTCATTTCTTCATGGACAGCATCATGAGCGGCAACCAAGCATCTCATGATAAAATTATACTGGTATGCGATCTGAATTAGACTATTTTTATGATTTTAATACTTAGTTGCTTTTCTTTTTCATTACTTCATGATTTTATTTTCCATGAATGAGATTAAAGTCAATGTTTTGTTCTGTCTGTAGCTTTTATAATGCCCACTCAAAACCCATATTTAATTCCAGTTCATTCGATGCAAAGGACAATATTAATAAAAAACAAGAAGCTTGCAAAGATTTTTGGATCTGTTTTGGAAAATAAAATGTCTTCTTTTGATGGTTGATTTAGTAGTCTGAAAGTCCTACTTTTATTTTGCCCTGCCTCAGTTTTTCATCAATTGGCAAATCTGACTACCATTTGATGCTGATTTTATGCAGATTGATGAGCAGGGCAATTCTCAAGGTGCTTCTGCCATAGCACCAGGATTGCCTGGAGATGAGGAGAGATTGTCTGTAGTAGCCCATCAGGCTGAGTTGACGTCTAGTACCTTTGCCATTGAAAATAATGGCCATGGCTCTAGAACTCCAGTGACTCCAGTGGCTCTCGATAGACTACTAAGTGATGGCGTGGTGGAAAGGGCTATGGTTTTGATAGAGAAACACGAGTGCTACAGTAACTTGCTACAGGAACTCAGAAGCATCCGTGCTACAGTACAGTGCTACCAGTAACTTGCTACAGGAACTCAGAAAGCATCCGTGCTACAGTACCTTAAAAAAAAAAAAAGATAGATGATTTGTTTTATGGAAACAAACAAACCCAATAGTTTTGGAAACTAATAAAAACCCAAATGTGAATTGAACACTTCTTTGTTATTTCAAAATTCTTCTATTATTTCAAAGTAGCACTAAAATCCCTTTATATATGGATAATAAGAGAGATTAGCCATAAACTCACTTTGAATGTGTTTGTTCAAAGGATCATAATTTTTCAAAGGGACACCTAACTAGGTGTGAAATAACGAAACAACATTCAAAGATTACACCTTAACTAGGTTGAAAAACAACTTCATTCCAAGAACATAATTCAAAGGACACCTAACAAGTTTGAAATAACTCATGTCAAAGAACACAATTCAAAGGACACCCAACTTAACTTTGAAAAAAACACACAAATGAGCTGGAAATTCATTGGTCAATGATTCAAGCTCCAAGTGCTCCTGAATTAGTTTGTCCTTCAAAGATGTGCTTGAAGGAACCCAAATTCAAAGATGATGGTTTGAAGGAACCCAAATGGCCCTAAAAGGAGCTGTAGCTTCAGATTGAACATGTCACTCCCATTAAGCCCATCTTCACTTGGATTATCTTCATCAACTTCACTAATGGACTCAAGACCAAGGCCCATGTCTAGGACAGCTTATAAGGGTAGGCTAGATGGACCTCCATCATTCTCCCCTTCTTGAAAAGTTTCAACTTGGTCAGAAGTTGACATGGTGTCTTCCTTATATTTGGCTTCTCTATGATTTTGTAAGGACCCTCCTCTTCTTCTTCCGCTTTTTGGGCATTAACGGTGTGAGCAAGATGGTAGTACCCTTATGGAAAAAGGTGTAAGTATTGGCCTTCCCTTGGTGCTGCACATCCTTATCATACAACCAAGGCCTCCCAAGAAGCAAGTGACAAGCTGTTTTTGGGATAACATGACAGCTCACCTCATCCATGTATTGCCCAATTGTAAAAGGAACTAGACCCCAAATGTAAAGGAACTGACACTTCTTAGTTAACTTCCATTTTCTGTATGGCCCTTCATGGAATTCAGCCATGCTAACACATAGTAGAAAGGGGGGTGTCCAATTGGGCTCAATTTACAGTTCCAAACTTTGCAACCATCTCATTGGATACAATTATTTTCCACATGCACCACTTATCAATAATAACTTCACATAATTTTTCTTTGTTAAACATCTGCGTGTGAAAAACAGGATTTCCTCCTCCAATCCTTCCTCACTCTTTTCAATATTCAGAATACGCATTCATCACTAAACACTCCCCATCTTACCATTGCATCACAAAACTAGTGTAGCCTCCCTCAATCAACATTACAAATTCATTATTTACAGTATGCAAACGGATATTAGCATGCGTTATATTATCTTCCTCTAATCTCTTCTATCTTCTCTAAGGGTCATTACTGTTCCTTGGAAGGACATGTCAGATTGGAAGGTGGTCCGATAAACCCTTCTTATATTTCTTCCTCAATTTCTTCTATCTCTCTAAGGGTCATTATTTTCCTTGAAGGACATTCAGATTGGAAGTGTCCATACCCTTGGCATTTGAAACATTTCAAAGCATTTTTAGAGGTACTTTTGGATGGTGGGATAGATTGGGGATTTCTTGGTGTGTCGGATGTGCTGGAAGTGTTTTGAAGAGGGGGTTTTGGTGAGGGTGTGTACGTGGTCTTGATAGGGGCAGAATGGGGGCTACTAGAGCTCGGTTTGTAGTTAGAAGGTGTGGTACTGGTTTTGTTCTGGTGTGAATGCTTCAAACTTGTCTCACTTCTTAATGCTAATCTCTTCAATTCAATAAGAGATTCATAAGGGCAGAAGCTTACCATGTCTTGGATGTCAAAATGCAAGCCTTGGAGAAAACGCCCCATGATCAGCTCCTCGGTCTCTTCGACCTCACGCTTCAATAAAAATTCCTCAAATTCCATGGTGTATTGTTCCACGGTTTTAGTGTCTTGTTTGAGGCTCAACATTTGCTCAATCTTTTTTGTCGATAATGGGGTGGTAAGAACAATCATCTCTTCTTTATCATATCCATTGTAAAGTAATATGAGTCTCCCTTCCCTCATCTTCGGCTTTTGCTAGATTATCCACCCAAAGCGGCAGCATATCCTTTCAACGTTCATAGCAGCAAGCTTCATTCTTTTATCTTCGGAAACCTCCCTCCAGTTCAAAGGATCTCTCATTGAGTGATATCCATTCAAGCATAGGCATCGAGCATCGATTTTACATGAAATTCAGGTTAATTCGATTTTATAGTTGAAAGATTCTTTCGTCTTTCAACACGATGGGTGGCTAGCAAGCCTTCCCCCTTTGGCCAAGTCCCTCCATGGAAAACAGTCTCTCCTCTCCTCTAAAACCTCACGTCCCAACATAGGTGGTTGTCCTCTCCATTGACAATCTTTCATTGTCATTTCCTCTTTGAGGGATGTCGGTATTTGGGGGGTATTTTGATAAGTGTTTCTAAGGCTTCATTCTTGGCCTTAAGAACTTCCATGGTCAACCTCATTTTCTCATTGCTGAGCTAGATCTTGGATCTTTCTGACGATGAACTTGTTGTGTTTCTTTATTAGAGATGTTTGGTGGTTATTGCAGTAATAACTATGTGAAAATAATGAAAGGGGAAGAAGTAAGATTGGTTGGGCTCTGATAGCCAACTGGATAGCGGTGGTGGAAAAGGCTATGGTTTTGATAGAGGAAACACGAGTGCTACAGTAACTTGCTACAGGAACTCAGGAAGCATCCGCGTGCGTACAGTAACTTAAAAAAAAAAAAAAAAAAAAAGATAGATGATTGTTTTTGGAAACAAACAAAACCCAATAGTTTTTGGAAACTAATTAAACCCAAATGTGATTAACACTTTCTAAACTAATAAAACTCAAATGTGATTAACACCTTCTTGTTATTCAAAAATCTCTCCTTTTTTTCAAAGTACACAAAATCCATTTATATAGGGAAACAATAGCCATAAACTCCCTTTGAATGTGTTGTTCAAAGACACAATTTCAAAGGACACCTAACTAACAACACATTCAAAGATACACCTAACTAAGGTTGAAAAAAACTCATTCAAAGACACAATTCAAAGGACACCTAACTAAAGTTGAAAACAACACATTCAAAGACACAATTCAAAGGACACCAACTAACTTTGAAAACAGGACAAATGAGCTGGAATTCATAGTCAATGATCAACCAAAGTGCTTCTGATTGTTGTCTTCAAAGATTTGAGGTTTGAAGGGAACCCAAAAATGGCCCTAAAAGCGGCTGTAGCTTAGTTTGAAAGAGCTGTAGCTTTAGATTGAACATGTCACTCCCATTAAGCCCATCTTCACTTGGATTGTCTTCGTCAACTTCACTAATGGACTCAAGACCAAGGCCCAAGTCTAGCCAGGCTAGATGGACCTCCATCACTAAGAATACTTAATGAAACTGGGATAGATTTGAAAAGTATGAATCTTGCTTCTGCCAATGTATCTGGCAGTTTGTTAACAGGTTGGCATGGTGAAGATCTATCACACAATCGAAAAATTCTACTAGTCGTCTCAGCAATAAGTATTATTGTTGGCTTTGGTTCTGCATTTATCCGTACCTTGATGTCCAGACAAGACACTGGTCTTGCAAGTTGGATATTGACTAGACTTGCATGTGCTGGAGCTGCTGTTGGTTTTATAACATCCATGAGTATGTTCTTGGATGATCCGCTAAACTTGTGGGTCAGCCTTGTTGCTTGTGCAATTTGCTTATACTCTTTGCTGATGGTTTAATTGTGCAAAATGTGCGGGTCAGCTTTGTTACTTCGGAAATTTGCTTCTACCCTTTTCTAAGGGTTTAGTTGGTTATTATTAATCTTGCCGACAATTGCCTTAATTGGTTGTTAGCAGATGCTCTTCTCTTCTTGACGACAATTGCCTCAATTGGTTGTCAGCGGATGCTCTTCTTGCCAACAATTGCCTTAATTGGTTGTTAGCCTTGCTGACAATTGCCTTTCGTTGGTTGTTAATGGATTTTGTAACTCCAGATGCTTCTCGCCGACAATTGCCTTAATTGGTTGTTAGCAGATGCTCTTCTTGCCGACAATTGCCTTTATTGGTTGTTAGCGGATTCTCTAACTCCAGATGCTCTTCTCCCTGAGAATTGCCTTAATTGGTCGTTAGCAGATGCTCTTCTTGCCGACAATTGCCTTTATTGGTTGTTAGCAGATGCTGTAACTACAGATGCTCTTCTTGCCGACAATCGCCATAATTGGTTCTTAGCAGATGCTCTTGTTGCTAAAAATTGCCTTCATTGGTTGTTAGCGGATTACAGATGCTCTTTGTTAGCGGATTACAGATGCTCTTTGAGCAGACAATTGCCTTAATTGGTTATTAGCAGATTAGAGCAGCCCTGAAATGATAGGTTTTCTTGTATTAGGCTGTAGCGTGTGGTCTTCTTGCTGACAATTGCCTTAATTGGCTGTTGGCAGACCAGGTTCTCAGGTGTTCTTTTTGTCAACAATTGCCTTAATTGGTTGTTATGCTTTCCTCAGAGACAATTGCCTTGATTGGTTGTTAGCAGATTTGGAGCACCTTGATATGATAGGTTTTTGTATTGGGTTGTAGCGGATGGTCTTCTGGTTGACAATTGCCTTAATTGTCTCAATTGCCTTGATTGGTTGTTAGCAGATTTGGAGCACCTTGATATGATAGGTTTTTGTATTGGGTTGTAGCGGATGGTCTTCTGGTTGACAATTGCCTTAATTGTCTGTTGGCTTTTGTGCAATTAAAGTTTTTTTTTATCATATATATCTCTGTGTGTGTGCGTGTGTAATGAGATCATATGAAAAAGGATTGTGTTATACAACAGAAAGAACATTCCCTCTTAAATGAATCTAGCTAAAGTTATAAAAAAATAACAGAATTCCAGTCTATTAGCTAAAACTTTAGCTGAATAACTTGCATTCGTCTGCAAACAGGTCCACGTTTGGTTCACACTTCAAAATTCTGGGAATTTTGATCCGATAGTTCATGATCTACAATTGTTTGAATTTAGGAACTCATGGTCTACAATTGTTTGAGCTTAGGACATTAGGGATTTATTATAATATTTTATTATAATAAGTTTCACAGGATGAAATTGTCAACATATGTGAGGACTTGGCGAATCCTCCATGTGGCTCACTTTAATTAGCTAAATGATTTACTTCTTTCACAGCTAGAACACAAAATGTAACTGATAATCTCCACCTTTTTGTACCGATTGCAATTTTCATTTTGAAACATAAGATCACTTTTTAATTGTATAGGGAAGTCCAGCCAGTGTTCAGATATTTGCCTGCAGGAAAGAGAATCAAAGTCAGCCTGTTGCTCGACGAAGCTTTTTTGATGTTCTACAGCGCAATTGAATTAGGATCAGTGTTCCACTGGGCTTCTTGTTGTGGTGCAGTCAGATGTTGACAAGACAAATCACACTTATAATGGGGAGTCCAAGCTGAACAACCTTACCACTGATGGAACCCATGAAGGGCTCGTATCTCTTCGTATGTTCTGGCTTAACTGTTGACTTATTCTGATTACAGGCAGCTTCTGACTGTTGGATTTATTGACAGGCAAGGAGGGACCCATTCATGATGTCCAGTGGTCATATTCTGGTTCACATTTTACTGTTGTTTATGGATGTATCCTTCTCTCTCCGCATCTGTGTATTTATTTATGTCTATGTATGTACACTATGTACAATTTGTTGCATGTATTTGTTGGCATGTATTTTGCACAGATGCAGTTTAACAGAAGTTCTGCAAAAGATTTGTACTGTTGGATGCAAGTCATAGCTGTTGGGTAAGTTGAGCGCTTGAGGGCATCTAGAGAGAATATCTCCGTCCATGGGGCCTGGGAAAATATGGTTGGCTGGAAATAGCAAAAGTGGTTGATATTGATGTTATACTATCTAAAATTGTTTTCGAAACCTTTTGATTGGAAAAGTGCGAAAAACTTTAGGTGAGAAGCTTCTTGTCCAAGGGACAAATTCATTTGGTGATGGTGAGGACTCCTTGTACTTGCATTCTGAGAAATGGAGTTTTTCACTGGTGGATCCTATTGTCATGAACATGTATCATGTGATTCAAGTCTCTGGATTCACTATGATGCTTAAGAATTAATATGTTGTTTCTGTTGATTATATCACAAAACTTTTGATTTCCTTGGATTCAACTATGATGCTTAAGAATTAATATGTTGTTTTTCTGTTGTTATATCAACAAAAACTTTTGATTTCCTTGAGTCCTGGAAAATCAAATATTAGTGGGTTCTTTTTACAGGTTATGTTCACAACTTAAAGTAAAAATTAGGATATTTGTTTATTCACAATAGGATATTTGTTTATTCACAAACATTCTTTGGTAGCAATTCGTAATTTGTGCTTCCCTTGATCTAATTTCAGTTGTGCCTGCAAGTGCGACATTGTTTGACAAGAAGTGCAATCCTCTATTGGAGCTTGGAACAGGCCCTTACAATGCTGTCGGATGGAACCGAAAAGGGACATGTATCCTTCAATCCTAAAGAATTAAGCAGAGAAACTTTTACCATTCAATCCTATATACTGCGTTAACTTTCTGCTTGTGACTGCCAAAATGGTTGAGTTCTTACTTATACCTTGTTTTGTGTTAATTATGCTTAGGCATTTTGCGCTTTTTTTTAGGTGATTATCCTTCTCTCTCCGCATCTGTGTGTCTATTATGTACACTATTGTAAACTTTTATTGCATGTATTTGTTGGCACATATTTTGCACATATGCAGTTTAACGGAATTTTTGTTAAAGACTTGTATTGTTGGATGCATGCCATAGCTGTTGGGTAAGTTGACCTTATCTCATGGTCTCCATGGGGTCTAGTGAGCGAAAGTGGTTAATTTTGATGTGATACGTCTAAAATTGTTCTTCAAACCTTTTGATCGGAAAAGCGTGAAAACTTTATGTCAGAAGCTTTCATGTCCAAAGGGACAAATTGGTTTGGTGATGGTGAGGATTACATGCGCTTGCATTCTATAGAATGGGGTTTCTCACTGGTCGATCATGTATCATGTGATTCATGTCTCTGCATTCACTATGATGCTTAAGAATTAATATGTTGTTTCTGAGGATCAGAAAGATTATTTGACAACTGACATAAAAATTAGGATATTTTGTGTTATTCACGAACATTCTTTGATAGCATTTCATAATTTTTGTTTGCTTCCAAAGTATTCCATCAAAATTAATTATATTTCCCAAACCATCGGGAACGTAACGTATTTCTCCAAAAAAAAAACTCAAAAGCTCTAATAATCAGAAAATCATTATTTAAGAAAAAAAAGGAAATGAAAAAGAAAAAGAAAAAAACGGAGTTGCAATCGAACTCGAATCACAACCACATCAACGTATACAAAAGATTCTAAAAATTTCTATTTTGATATTCGAACAGTAAAAGAAAAAAAAAAAAAGGAATTAAAAAATTTTTCACTATGACTACATTTCAAGCTAAACGAGCAAAATGGCTTTGGGGTTATCTTGCTCAACCTCCAAGAATTAAAGCTCAGGAAACAAAAATAAGTATAGGGATAAAGAAATGAAAACATGCCGAATCAATACCTACAAGTAAATCAAAACTTATTAAATTCTAGTATGCTTCTTCCATATATGTCAATCAAAACTTATTAATTAAATTCTAGTATGCTTCTTCCGTGTATGTCAATCAAAAATAAGTTCATTTTGATATGATCTAGAGCTAGTTAATTAAGAAAGAAAGAAAGAAATGATCAAGAATCAGGAGTGTGTATATATATATTAAAATGAAACCACATTAACAAACAGTACTCAAGATATGGATATCGCATATTAATTAATTTCTTCCAGAAGGCAAGAACATGCCCATTATCAAGAAGAAAACCATCGCCGCAGCAACAATCCCTATTGCTCCCGTAATTCTCTCTGCGGCCGCTGGCTTCTTGTTGCGAAGCCAAAAGCTAAGCAAGAGGAAAAGAAAAGCTATAGCGTTGACGACCACAATAACATCCATCAGGGGCGGCGCAGCTGATGAGGAAACCTTCGGAGCATAAGCAATGAACGAAACATTTGCAGAACCAGTGAGTCCTAAGAATATTTCTCGTAGCTTAATGTTTGAGCAGTTTGGATCCTTTTTACCAAGAAGATGTAAAATTCGGATCTTTCTGTTTTGCAACCTTCTGAATGATCTGTTCTCGCCATCATCTATAGGGATGCAAAAGCTGTGCAAGCACTTTTTGAGCTCCTCTCCTGAAATGAAACCATCACCGTTTGTATCAAAGATATCGAAGCACTCCTTCAGTAAAAGTGTCCGATCACCGTCGTCTTCTTCCCCGAATTCTTGAAACCAACCGTCTGCATCGCCTTTGAGAACTTGAAGAATATGTGAAATTGGAATCGGGATCTTGCTGTCAGTTTCAACGTTCAAGGACCTTTTGATCTCGTCAATACTGATATTCAGGCCCACCCTAAGAAGGCAGTTTCTGAGCTCCTCTGCTGAAAGTTTTCCATCACCGTCTTTATCAAAGCTTTCAAAGCACTTCTCCATATCGAATGTTGTAATTTTACGAGAGAGGAAGTGAGTTCGATAATGGACTCCTCGATCTACACAGTTTCAATATTTCTGTTAGTAAGTTTGGAACGAGCCGATTGGACGAGTTAGAAATATACTAGAAAAAAAAAAAAAGGTCCATTTTAGGTATTTTAAGGGTGTATTTTTTTTACACGGTGTATTCATAAACATTATGTTTAACATTATATAAAAACACTAATTTTAAACTCCCTATGAAATTTATTATTTCATTATATAATAATAAGAGAATTAAAAAGTAAATTGTTATTATCAAAATGAAAGGAAATATATTATTTTGATGACTTTTATGTAAAATTGATAATTCAAACTCATTAGGTAACATAATTCTTTTTGTTAATGGATAGAAATTTTAAGTCCAATGTCAAAAAAAAAAAAAGATAGAAATTTCGAGTCAACAACGCGTTTTCCTGCTAATTTTATTTTATTTGTCATTTTGATAGGAACATGACCGGAATTTACAATAAACTAGTCTCCAATTTCAACTCTCAGCTTTCAAGGAAGAAGGTTGAAGGAAATAATAATAATAATAATAATAATACGTGGACATTTTCGTAAGGAAATAAGTCCGCTCATTTCTCTCACTTCCATGTCCAATGGAGCTTCAAGAAAAGAAGATGGCGTCTCTCTCGTCAGACTTCCCTCCCATTCCCAAACTATCTTCTTCCACCTCTACTGTCAAACAACAAAACATAATGAAACTTATCATCTCTACTTGCTTCATATCTGCAAATATTCTATCGCTTCTTCCATTTGACTATAAGAACGGAAACCGAATTCCATCAATTATTTTCAGAAGACTTCCATCGAATACCTTCCATGCGTTTGCCATGTCTCTTGTTTTAGCCTTCAGCAGTTCATTTATCGCTTTAATGATTGAGAAAGAGACAAAGCTTGTGAGGCAGATCTGCTGGTATTTATCTGTGATTTCCATGGCGCTTGCTGGGGCAATTCTTGCATATGCAATTTCTTTATCCAGTTTCAACTGAGTTATGCATCAAGGAAGACTAACTTGAAGATCTAATTCTTCTTCATGTAAGGCTATTATCTAGCCATATACTTTTGGTTGTAATACGTAAGTTTCCTCATAATAAAACCTTATTGATTTATTAACTTCAATTTTCTTTTTCTTTGTTGATATTAGTATCAGTTTTTTTCTTCTTGCCTATGAGCTTAGTAGTTTTAGCAGTCAAGCATTTACCAAGATTCAATTTCTTGGAATCTGATTCAAGTTCTGTATTTATTTTTATCCCTCCAATTTATTTTTGTTCCCTATAACTCTCCATCTCTGTTTGTCTGTTTTATGTTGTTTTCTTATTTCTATCTCATAAGAGAAGGAATCCCAAATCGGCAAATCTGTCATCTCATACTGACAGGAATTTTTGATATTACGATGATACCCCTATGGTGATATTTTAGGTCTCGAATAATCATAAATTCACATCTCGCAAAGTCAGCCACCAAAAAATCGGCACCACCGCGCATCTGCTATAGTCTGATCAAACGCCGCCACCATGTCGAAAATCCCTCCACCACAGAAATCGCAAAACGCAGAAGGGCAAACAAAGCAGATGAAGATTATCTTATCGGCTTCTTTCATGATAGGCATAATAATAAGTATACTTCCTCAAGAATCCATTAATGGAAATTTAGTTCCGACCGTCATCTTCAAAGGCCACACTTCAATATTTCATGCCTTCGTGATTTGCACAATATTTTCTTTCTCGGGTTCGTTTTGCTATTTGATGATTGAAAATAAGCACAAGCTTAATATTGCTAAATTTTGCAGGTACTACTCAATGATTTCCATGGCTTTAGCTTTATCTATACTTTTTTACGCTTTGGTTTTGGATGGGCTCAATTGGGTTCCCCCTGCAAAGCAAGTCATGGAAGAACAGAAGTAGAATGAACGAAGCGCAGTAGAAATTTAGCATACGCTGTGTAATGTAAATATTAACTTTAATTTTCCTCTTAAAGAATCAAACTTTTAGATTATGGTTGTTTTTTTTTTTTGGTTTAATTTTTGTGACAAGTAGTTTGTGTTTGTCTTACGCTGTGTAATGTAAATATTAACTTTAAATTTTCCTCTTAAAGAATCAAACTTTTATTTTTTTTTTTTTTTTTTTTTTTTTTTTTTTGGTTTAATTTTTGTAACAAGTAGTTTGTGTTTGTCGGAACTGATATTCCATGCCTTGCGTTTTCCTTTCCTGATTGCTGAGAACTTGTTTGCTGAAATGTGGCTGAGAGCATCATCCTGTCTCCCTTAAACTTATGGAGTGCCTATATGTATATGCTCAAGATTTCGTGTCCGCCAAAATTACCCCACAAGAAAAATTGGAAAACTCAAAGTATTATTCACAAGCGTCCATGGTGAAAAAATGGGTTCGTAAATGGGCATGAATTAAATCCTAAACACCAGATATTGATACTTGGGAAGAAAAAGTCTTCTAGGTATGGATATGATAAAGTTCAATTACTTTTGTCTTAAATTTAAGTAGACAAGAACATAGTGAAACAAAATTTCCATACCCATTTTTGGAGCTTTGACATAAGTAAATAATCTGATATCATAACACAAACTTATGATTTTAAAGGGTTCTGGTACATGGCAACTGCAACTGAAACCACCCAAGTCGGCTTTTCCTTAAAATCTGGTCATGTTGAACAGAATTGGTTGATCAGAAGCAACGCCGCTATTAGACATCATCCAACACATTTTCTGATTGTTGAGCAGAATGAGCTGATCAAAAGCAACAGAGAACTCGATTTCAAAATCTAACGCTTCGACTGATTGATGCATTGATTCCAGTTGTTTCACCACCATAAGAACCAGTAGGTTTCTTAATCTTCTGTACTTGGCCTTGCCGTCGTTTCTTTTGTTTATCATGCTTTGTCTAGAGAGAGAGAGAGAGAGAGAGAGAGAGAGATGTGAATTCATAATTAAATATTAAGTCGCCTATCAAAGAAATTTACAAGAATGAAGTTATCAAATTACCCTGTATTTCTTCCTTGGATTTTTCATGTCTTTTCTCCTTGGACGAGTAAGACCTCTGTTCTTCTCAATCTGGCATTTGTTAAAAAAAAAAGAAAAATCTCAAAGTTTGATCAAGGCAGGGAATGATGGAGACAGTACAGAGAAAATAATTGTTCCCACCTGACGAGTGATTTGTCGTTTTCCATCCACAGTTTCAGGCAAAGATGGAACTGCAGAGGTCCTGGATAAAAGGCACATATATAGAGTGATTACTTTACCAAGTCTAAACTTAAAAGCACAGGCAAGAAACTTAAGGTTTTTAATGTAAGTTAAAACAGAGATTTTAATAACCTAAGTAGGAAACTGACATAAACCACCCATCCATCCAAATGTAAAATGCAAAAGTAACCTGGATGCATCTGATCATGCCTCATAAGCAAACATTTGTAGACCAATACATCATGGCTATCATATTACCTTGTGTAGTTTTTAGCTTTGGCAGCATCTTTTGCTTCCTTCTTTAGTTGTATTTCTTTGTAGAATTCATCTTCTGAAACTTCTTCATCACCATCCTCCTCCATGTCGGAGGCTTCATAACTCTCAGGTGTGCCAGGTTCATGCTCAGCATCATCCTCAGACTTAACTCCAGCACTTGTCAACACTCGAAGCTCATGTTTCCTTCTTCTTTCTCCAATATCATCTCTCTTAGGTAAATCATCATCACCAGAAATGACCTGGTCAAAACGTGGTAAAAAGAAAAAGCTTATAAATGTGATCTAAAACATTGCAGCAAAATATCAAGGGTACTATACTTCCAGAGCTGCTATAGTTAATGATAGTGATACGATTTTTATTTGGACAAAATTGCCCTCTGTCCCATTTCACTTACTTCTTTCCCCTGTTTTTATGAAAATTGCCCCCCCCCCCCCCCCCCCCCCAAAGGGTGTTATATCTGATTCCACTGAGCTAGTCTCTATCTACGTGTTAATGGATAGTGATACGATTTTTTCTTTGGACAAATTGCCCCGTGTTACCGCATAGTTTCACTGTACATCGTTCCCCCTGTGTTTTAGTGAAATTGCCGCCAAACCGCGCCATTCCCCTTCACCCTCGTGGGCAGGGAAGTGTGGTCTTGCTCATATGCTAAAAATAACGTTAACTGGAGACCTAAAGAGAGATCCGCGAGTCCAACTCCTATTCACAGCTCGCAGATGGATATGAAACTTGAATAGTTGAGGGAAAACATCACAGATAAGATGAGTATAAGAGACAAAACATGAACCACAAACATATGACGTGTTACATTTAATGAACAGTTGGTCGCTGGCCGAGACTACAAATAAGGAAGAGGCTAGGGAGAATTGGAGGTCCGACTTCGGCTGTAAAATGCAACAAAGTTTGACACCTTTTTGAGGCAGATCAATCGTAATGGTTAGCTGAAATACAGTTGGGGGAGACGACTAGCAGGCGTCGATGGTTTTGCAAATCAGCGCGTGACACAAATCAAAATTGATAATTACCTTGATTTATTTATTGTTTAACAGAAGCAACTGTGCGGAAGTAGTTTATGCAGTAAAACCGCGCAGCAGAGCACATGTGCTTTGTTTCGTCGTTACGTGGTTAAATCATGATTTGAGCTCTCTATATGTCAAAGCATTCTGTCAGTGCGATAACCATCAGTTGTTTCAAGGTATGTCGTTTGTCTCAATCCTCAAACAATTGTGTAAGAAGTTGTCCAATACAAGGCTTACGAAAGGATTTTATAAGTTTAGACAAAGAAGTGAAAACAGTCACCGGCATTTCCTGATTTGTGGGGTGCTTGCTGAGCCTGGTTCCAGCTTTGAGCACATGGAATTAAAAACTCCCTGTCGTGCTTGTGCAATTTTGTCTTCAAGTGCAGCATACTCGATTGTTGCAGTTTACCATACCTTGGTACAACCGGGACTTGGGATCAGCGTTCTCAACTTTAAGAGTACGACGAAATTAGCATATAGTATACCCGATTGCAGCAGAGCGGGAAGCAGTACATAATGAAACTAACTGGAATATACTAAAAGGAACACAATTTAATAATGTCTTATAGTCAATTGGTTCTGGCCTTGGAGCCTTTCAATTCAATTAGAGAAACCCCCCCCCCCCCCCCTCCAACCTTGTGGCAGGAATTGTTTGCTCATTGAAACAATAACTATTGTAATAAAGCCCTAAAGAAAGCAGCAACTCCTAAATTCCAGCTCCAGCATGGATATCAAACTTGAATAGTTTGAAGGAAAACAACAAGAAGAAGAAGAAGCAAAAAATACTCCAAAACATTTGACCTCTCATACATTTAAACATGCCAAAGCCAACTACAAAAGGAAGAGGGCTGGAGATTGAAGTCAAACTCCTATAAACAAGTTTGACATTTGGAGGCAATAACTATTGTACTTGTATGCAGCTGAAATACATTGAAAAACCAGGTTCACATTGTTTGTAAATAAGGTGACACATCAAATTTGATAATGCATACCTTTGATTTATTTTGTTTAACAGAAACAAGTTGCGAGAGTTTACTTAAACCCAGCAGGCTTGTTTGTCCATTGCTTAATCCATGATTGCCTCTCTCAATATGCAAAGCATCGTCATCAAAATCATCATGTGTTTCAAGTTGTCTGTCCAATTCCAATGTGTATAAGTTAGTCCATACAAGGTCAAAAGTAAAATAAATTAGAAAAGAAGTGAAACAGTACCCATTCACTGATTTTGGATGCTTCCGAGCTTTATCAAGCTTTGGAGCAATGGAACTAAAAACTCCCTTCTGCTTCAATTTTTCTTCAAGTGCAGCTCTCACTTTTAACATTTCCATACTTTGTACACCGACTTGATCAGTCTGCCAATTTCAAGAGTACGACATTAGCCATTAGTAGTGTTACCAATTATTGCAGCAGCAGAAGCAGTAACAATGAACAAAATGACACATATAATTCTATCAATGGTTTGCACTTGAGCCTTCAAATATTGAGATGTCAAGTCCAAGTCCCATAGTGGAATCCATGACCCACAGCCCTGTCAGTGGTTGACAAGAATAGGGAGGGAGTATCTGGAACATATTTGACTCCACCTTATGTTTATGTTTCTTCTCTTTATTCTCTCGTTCCCTTGAAAATTCTGCTTTCAACAATTCAGACGTGCCAGAAGGCTGTAATATAACCATGAAAACTCAACTTAAAAAGAACAAACGTGAAAAGATGATAAACGAAGGATTGCATTTTGTAGGACCTCTGCCGGTTCTTGTGCATCAGCTTCAGCTGTGGCAAGAGAAGAGTTGTGACCTTTCCCGACAGATACAGATATGGAAGCAGTTGCGGCATTCTCAGTGACTTTATTTTCACCTGCTTCAGCCTCGTGATTTTCATTCAGCATTTCCTCTAGTTGTGATGAAAGATTCCCATCAAGTTGTTTCATCTGTTGAACGTAACACAGACTTGGGAAATTGTAAGATGTGAGAGAAACCTATTGAATAAATACAGTCTACACCCACTCCTATATAAAACAATCAATTTGGCAACACTAGTTAAATGGTCATCTACTATCAGGTGCAACTATGACATTACATTGTTTTCTCAGGAAATTATAGCTTCATCAAATATGCAGAGTGAAGATTTTAAGAGGCCTTTAGGAAAGCTAAAAAATTTTAGTAATTAAATACCAATTTACAATTGGGATTTCTAGCTAAGAATTTAAGCATCAATAGCTCATGCGCATTCCCCTTAACATCTTTGATTCAGATAAAAGTTTGCCCCAGTGTTGTAAAATGGAAAAGTATAGTCCTATAAAGAGAGATTCTGCATGCCAGTTATTCCTCAGAAATGAATGCATGCAACATTGCCATGCATGATGCATGTCACACTTGTCAACACAAAAACACATATCTGAAAAAGAAAAATCAATTCAAATTTACATAAGAACTGAATAACCAATTTATTTTTTCCAAAATGAACAGAATACCTTATCTAATAAGCCCTTGATCTCTACAAGACGGGCTATGACAGGATGATCACGAACTGACTGCCCTTCAGATTTGAGAAGAAGATAGAAAGTTATGGCTTGGCAGTATGCCAATAAAAGAAGCTGCTGCACCTCCAAATAGCGCTTTCCACCTTTCAAAGTGACTCCAGCCATATTAACCTGCAGAAGGACTAAAAGTATTATTTTGCTGATCATAATAGCATCAATAGAATGCAGCAATTCCCAAGGTAAGCACACAATATGGTAGAAAACAAATGTCATGATAAAGAGTAAAAATGAAAAAGGAATCAGAAACTCAGTTTTCTAGCTCCAGTATATTAATAGAAACAAGAAAAGTAAAAAGATGGAAGCTTAATGAAGGAAAAGAAAAAAAGAAGATTACCTTTGCTAAAAGTGGATTAACTCTGCTTTCAAGCTGTTCAAGTGCATCATTTAGCTCAGAAAGCAAACCTATTAATTCTGGCGCAGAGCTGTAGCAAGAAACAATAGCTAACATAAGAAAACCTCGCAGTTGAACGGAGAACAGAAAGCATATGTAAAACATGAAATGAAAAGCACTATGCTGGAAAATCAGAAAAAAAAGCATAAATATATTATGAGCATATGTAATGCATACCAGCCTGCCTTATGTAAGAACAACAATTACAAGGCAATGACATCTAGCACTGCCAAAAATAATCACATACTCAGAATGCACGGAAAACTAGAAGGCTACTCCATCGCCAACAGTGTAAAAGAAAACCTATGCTTACTATGCAGTCAACCGTAACTATTTCCCATCATTTATATAGCCAACATTTGCCCTTGGTGGCCTTCAAAGAGAGGGGATACAGGTTTCTTGAATAATGATTTCACTCTTTGCCCACGTGCTCCTACTGTGTGCCTGTTGTTGGGGGCTTTAACTTTCCTATAAGTTATCTCTTTCTACTTTACTACTGATTACTTGGAATTAGCATGGTCCTACTGTCATCTTTCCTTGTTTGTTTAAATGTCATCTCCATTTCTTTGTCTCCATCATGTCAAGAAACATATAGTTATGTGAAACAATAGAAATCGACTATGTGCCCACCCTCCACATGTGGCACATCCATTATTTTGTCTTATTATGATAGGGAGGAGCCATCATAGATGTAACCTTGTAAAATCACAAAGTAAAGAAATAACGAAAGAATGTATGAATATATAAACAGAAAGAAAAAAAATATTTAAGTTTACCTGTAGACAACGTTCATTTTCTCCTCTCTAGACAAAGAATTCAATTTTTTTTTCAGCTCCTCAAACGTATCCACGTTATCCATTACTTCTTGGATCAATGAACCTTTAACAGAAGTTTCCTACACCATCAATAAAATCAAATTTGTGCAAATAGAAAGTTATCATACTTACTCCTCTTTGAGTGAATGAAACTCATAATCAAATTTGTTCCAGTAACAACAAATTAACAAGATACACGAGAAGAAGTTCACCTTCAATGTTAACTCTTTATCAGTCTCGTCTTCACCAACATTTTCAAGGCCATAGTCTTCAGCTTTAAAAAAACCTGCCTTTTTCCTCTGTATCCTCAAAATCTCTTCTTCTTCTTCTTTATAAGCCTCATCATCACTTGATTCCATCTACAAAGTGAAACCGAACAATACATTAAAACATTCCTATTTTGAAGCAACATCAGCACATCAAAGTTCTTTCAATTAAACAAAAAAGGAAAAACAGATTATATGAACACATAAAACTATTTATTCATATGATTTCATGTGGAAACATGAGTTAGCTACAGGCAAATTAAAGAGGAATTGGAGGGGGAAAGGGAAGGGAAGGAGATATCAATATGGCATCTTAGCATTTATCCTCACCTCATATTCACGACCACCATAATACTGGCCCTTTTTCCCACCCCATATTTCCTTGTTTTCCTCCTTTTCTTCCTCATCGCCATCTATTTCATCATCCAATGCACCAAACTTTTCTCGGATATATTTCCTTTGCCTTCTGACTGAAATCAAAAGTGATAAGTTCGCTAAAAATTTACCAAGCACAAATGAAAAATAACAAGAGAAAATTATACTTGACAGAATCATACTCATAAGTAAAAGAAAAACCTTTTAAACATTAAAGAGAGAGAGAGAGAGAGAGAGAGAGAGAGAGAGAGAGAGAGGCTAACTTTATCAAAAAAGGCAAAAAAAGTTTCATTGGCAACAATTTGTCTAACTATTAAACAACAAAAAGCTATTCAATAGAAACACCAAATAGAAACTGAAGATGTTATCAGTTATCAGAGTCCCAAATAACTAAAAGCAGCTAAAATTTTACTCAACCAAACTCATTAGCTCAGGTACTGATCTGAACAGTTAAGTGTTAATAATAGTTCTGATCGATTACCTCAACCAACACATCTAGTAGTTTAAGAAAATTGATTTATGCAAAATCAATAGTATAATTTCATTTCAGAAAAAATTTGATCAATACAAAAGAATTTATGTTTATTTTCATAATTTATTCACTAAAAAAAAATTGAAATATTTTAAATTAGTTCTCTCACTTTTTGCAGCTAATCCTTTCTCATCTTCATCATCATCATCATCATCATCTCCATCTTCATCATCACCAGCATCTTCGCCATCATCATCATCATCATCATCATCATCATCATTGATATCCTGCAATTAGTATTACTTGCTACTAAGATTAATCCCAAAAACACACGAACATATAGTAAATAAAAATAATTCGCCTACCATTAAGACTAAGAACATATTAACCAAAAAAGCAAATTGTAAAAAAGTTGCTAAAAATGTATTACAATATGAAAATTATGGTCAAACCAAGACCTCATAATCCAAAACGGGTTCCTCCTCATCCTCAATTGATTCCTCCTCACTATCATCATTTATATCAAGTGGAATAATATCCCGCTGTTTATGAACTACAAGCATCCAAAAACCACCAAGAAAAAGTCTCAAAATCCATAATTTAAATTCAACAAATATAAAATAATAAAAAAAGCACAAAAACAGGTAAATGATGAAAAAACAAAATGAAAGATTTACTAACAAGTATCGATATCATCGTCCATATCTTGCGGGTCAACATATTCGCCACGAGAAATTCGCTTATGATTTCTGTTATCCACCTTCGTTTGATGCCTTCCTCTCTTCGCCATTGTTAACAGTCTCTAAAATTGCCAAAACCCTCCCGGCAATCAGACAGTTAGGGTTTAAATGGTTGGATTTGGGCTGGACTTGAGCTATCTTGGGTCCAATCCAGCTACAAAAGGCCAATTCAGCCCCTGTAGTTTTTAAAAGAGTCCAATTGGTCCAAAAGATTCCCTTCGGCTCAAATACTCTCCAAGCTAGTTCAAATTAATCTGAGTTAATTAGCCCTAATTTTTGTTTAAACACATTAATTTTTTTTTTTTCATTTTTAAATGGAGATTTGAGGATAGGGTGTTATACAGTAATCAAGGAACGAGCTTGAGGATGTTATTGTAGATAGACGAAAGAATTAAGGGGGTGTTTGGTTGAATTCGATGATTGGAGCTTTCATTGTTGTTTTTAACAAAAATTGGAGTTAATTATCCTGAAAATTGATTTTTTTTTTTTTTTTAATCCAATTGGATCCTTTGAAAAACCATAAAGGGCCAAATGACCTTTAAGCCTATTATTTTTTATTTTAACTAATACTCTGAAATTTGTTGGTATTGTAATTGAACCTCATATCCTTGAAAATAACTCCAATAAGCCAAATTTAATTGCTTGTAATTGCTAATATTTATCATTTTAGCATGATCACATTGAATAAAATGAAAATACTTTTCCAAACAAGTCAGAGTAGTGCTGCTTTGAAGGTTTTCATGTCATATAATTTCAGGAGTGTTAAATGTAGTTTAAAAATTAACAAAAAAAAAAAATATATATTATAATTATTATATATATACTAAATGAATAAATCATGTTGGCGATAATCGCTCTCCAATATCTGGTGGAGTCTTTAATTAATATATAAAGAATTAAATCATTGTTGCATCAATCCTCTCCATATCTGTGGAGCCTTTAACTTGATGGTTCAGTTTTGGTTTCCTCAAGCTCTAGAACAGCAGTAAATCCAAAAGCAGTTCCTGGTGTGAACAATTTCTTGAGTTCTTCTGCCTTTTGGATAGTATTAACTTTGTTATCCTTAACGTTCAGATTTTCCTGTTTTCAAAAGAGAAACTTAACATTCAGGTCAGTTTCATAATGACCATACAAGCAAAATTTGGTGAAAATTTGAAAATGACTTGCCTTCTTCACATAATCAGCAAGAGATGAGCTAACAATTTCTTGTATTACAAAATTGGTAACGCGCTCTTCACCAAGAATCTGTAGGAGGAAATCCCGCGGGACCTGCAGAATTACAAGTAAGCCATTTCAGAACAAGACATAGAAATGCATAACAAGAAGCAATTCTCCTTTCAGGATAGAATGCCAAGAGCCAACCGTAATTGCCTGCAAAGAATTTCTTTACAATCATGAAAAATGAAGACCAAAAACAGAAGTTATAGAACTTCAGTCTGTCACATCTCACATTCCGTGGTCTCTACAATAGGAACCACAAAATCTAGTCTACTTGGAGATTTCAGTCATGTCAGATCAAAATATTTATTTAAATACACAAGGGAAACTGAGAATTATTGAAACCAGTTAAACACTTATGAATCTCACCTACAATATCAACTTTCATGTGAACTTTCTGCAATATAATGTTTAAGATTTGAGAATTGTGATACCCTTTCTCTGAGTTTCTTTTATCTTGACAGAGGCTACAAATTTAGGAAATGCATCTGTAGAATGTTTGTCAAAGATCAAAAGTAACACCATTTTCCATCTCTCAACTGAAAATTATGATAGCATAAGTTTGTTATTACCCTGGTTGTGAAAGATAATGGACCAGCAAGTTTCACTTTCTAACATGAGCATCAAAGGTTCAGAACTGCAGTCTGCAGGTAAAGTAACTGGAAGGCTTTTTTTTTTTTTCTCTTTTTTTCAGGAAGGCACTGAAAATAAACATAGTTGCTAGAAGGAATTAAAGATTTTACTAGGCCATCCCTTTTAAATAGAGACAACCTATGGAAAGATAAAGATTACACACATATATATACATATATATCTGCATAACTATGGTGCAATAAGAGACAAAAACACAAGAGGGCGATTGCACATCATCTCTACATTTGATAGCTGATTCAATAATATTAATTCCTAGGATATCAGATTATACAACATGAATGGTATTCATCTTTGTACAACGCCTATATATTGATTTTTGCCAAAGATCCAAACACACTATTTATATACAGACTTGAATTATTTTGGAACTATGAGGCACGGGCATGGATAGCGAACATTGATACGGCTGTTCTCATAAAAATTAGCATATGACACCCAGAACTGAAGTATTGATGCTTCATAGTTTTGGAAGGTAAATGAAACCGTGGTTTCATTTCATTGTTTCGTCATAAGTATTACCAATTTAAGATTTCACAAGATCAAATCAGTTAAAAAAAAAAAAAAAAAATTAAGAATGGAAACCAAGTACCTTTGATGTTTTTCCTAGATTAGCCGCACCATACATGAAAAAAATAAAAAGATTAACAGTCAAACAAAATCATGCTAAACTGTCAAATAATTGCACTCAGTTATTCAGTCTAACAATGTCATACCTCCCTTTTGCCTTCGAAACCCAGGAATTGGTGGAGCTGATTTACCCAAATCTGTCAAGACTTTATCAAACACTTTTTGTGTTTCATCTCCAGATAAATCCACTCTCAGCTGACAATATAAAAGTACAAGAATTTAACAACAATAACTTCTATTCACGAGTGAAAAATCAACATTGACAAACAAAGACCAGAAATTCCAGAAAGTTTAACCTGAATTTTGTCTTCTTCTTTAGATTCTACAACTATTTTTGCATTTTTGAAGTTCATTGCATTGTCCTTTGGATCTGTAATCGAAGCCTCCAACCCTAATAACAAGCAAAGCAGATAAAATTACTTCAATCAGTAACTAACTATTCATGATTACAATTTGAAGCTAAAGTTTCACCTGAGCCAACTGCAGATAATGGCTTGCTCACATGTTGAAGAATGCTTCGTCCCTTTTGATTAGAAGAAAGCGATAGCCTCCAATTGACGCTTGCGGCGGTTCTATGGATAGAAGAACAATTGCAAGAGCAGTAGCCTCTCAAAGAAATTGTCGCCATTGAAATGGACGCCATAATTTTTTTCCTCTAATCTTTCTTGTAAGTTGTAACTGAAAAAACCACTTCTTCTTCCTTACCTTTTGAGAACATTTGGACTGCACCAGTCAATTCAAATCATAGGGAAACGTGGTCGTTTCTATTCATTTTCAAGTCCGATATGAAACGGCACCGTTGCACATGGTGGGATCAAAGCGGTATAAAAAACGGATGGTGATGACTGATAGAGAGCAGCCATTAATTAGAGCAGCAGGGGAGGAGAAAGGCAAAGAAGATAAAATGGAAATAGCTGTTAAAACCCTGTTCTTGGGATTAAACCCAAAGGTAAGCGAATCTTTCTCTCTCTCTCTTTTTTTTATTTTAAATTTTAAGTCGAAAATGGCGTTGTATAAAAAGTGTTTTTCTTTTTCTTTCTGGTATTTTCAGTTAATAAATCACAAAAAAACACCAGGTATCATCTTTCCAAATCTTTCCTGCAAATCAGCATCTGTTTCCCATCAAACAAGATACAGGAATCAAGGATATTGTGCAAGGTTAAGGTAAACTTTAGAAAATCACTGAACTGTACAATTATTTTGAATCCTTTTATACCAATGAATTCTTTCATTATTTACAGGGAAAACCACAGATGCTTCTCTCCTGTTTTTTCTGTACTATCAGGTGCTATTCTCCTTCAAGTAGGGCTTAAATCTTCTTGTTAATGTTGTTGTTGTGGTTTTCTACAATTAATCCACTTAAACTAGGTGCACAAGATGTTGGAGTATCGACTTCTCAGTTTGAAGATTTCTCTGTAATGGCTTCAAGCACCGATGAGGCTGGAGAACTAAGGGTATGAGCTGACTGTTCACTGTTGTACTCAAAATTAGCTTCTTGGGTGGTAAGCTAATTAAGAAATTTAAATTTCGTAATTGGTTAATAGTTTTGTGCAGACATTACTGCATTAACTTTTATGAACAGATTAATGTAGAGGTATCTGGTGCTAAAACTAGAGAAATTTTTGACAAAGTTTTTGACAAAATGGTGGCTGCAGCCCAGCCAATTCCAGGTTTTCGAAGAGTAAAAGGAGGTGAGACATTTGAATTTATCATCCAACTTATACATCAGAATTGCTATTATAATCTCAAAACTATTAAACAGCTCTTAAAATTGCCAACTAAGCATCTTTAATATGTTGCACATATGTGCTTTTATAATTTTATGGTTATTGTAGCACTTATTGCAAAAATGATGTGGGACCATTATGGACACAACACCGTCATTGGTCTGGTCATTGTTACCTGTAGAATTTATGAGAGGAGTAGAAGAGAAATGTATCATTGAATGTTAAAGATAGACAGCATATTGCCTCGTGATCCCTTGCAAGTTGATGTTTGTCCATAGGAGATGGATCTTATTATATATTATAGAATGGAAATTTGTATAACTTGTACATTGTTTTCTAAAATTGCATTTGTTTTCTAAACTTGCATTTGTTAAGTTGAAAAAAACCTAACTACTGTTGGTATAATATTTGCCAAAATCTATACTACTGAAGTAATTTTTCTTTGGGTTTACTTTAGATAATGAATTGCTGAATTTTTCTAATTACTTCCATTTACCGCACTTCTTATGCTGATGGCTGTGGCACCACCAGGAAAGACACCAGATGTAAGTTTCTGTATCCTCTTTTTGTACCCATTGCGAATGTAATGTGAAACTGTTTTTTCAATGTAATTGTCACTTTCTTGGCATGCTTGATGGTTGGATGCTATCTGAGTTCATGACCTTCCTTAGACAAACAAACCCCATGCATCTTTCCCCTCAAAACTTTAAAAGGGTAGTGTTCCTTGGACCATATATGTGACTTAAAAATGTATTTAATGTCCTTTAAGAAAAGCCTACTGCATTTGAAAAAAAATTCAATAGTCCATATAGAATGATGAAAATGCTCCCATGAAACTCACACAGGAATGTATACATACACGGTCAATGCTGAGCAAACCTGCTTTAGGTATAATTTTGTATTCATTTTCTTTCTACCATGCCAGGAATAAATGATTTTAATCTAAACAGCATCCAGATACAATCACTTGAACATATTAACAATGAAATTGCAGGCTGAAACTTACTTCATGCATTTATGATTAGTTTATAAGGAACATGCATGCATGGTTACGCACATACTCAAATTGATATAAAATTTTTGTGAGTAATCGCTGTGATATTTTGGGTTGTTCTTGTTTAATATACTGCTGTTGCAATTTGTATGATTATTTATCATTCAAGCAGATACCAAGAGACATTTTGTTGGAAATCCTTGGACCTTCAAAAGTTTACAAGGAAGTGATCAAGAAAATGATAAACTCTACTGTAGCCGAGTATGTTGAAAAGGTAAGCTGGAAAGAGATTTTGTTTTGATATTAACACTTTTTTTTTTTTTTTCACACTCATTGTCTAGGAAATGCGTCCTTGAATACTAACATGCTAGCACCCTTTATATCTTGCTTGTATTGATACTTTGGTGACTACATTTAATATTTAGTTCAAATTAATCGATATGAACTTCAAAAAGAGGAATGACCGAACTAATCCAAAACTAGACTTCACTCCTCAATTCTGGCACTTCTTTTATAGTTATCAACAGGGGGCCATAAAATTATTGGTAACTGGATTTTCTCTTTATTAGGATAGTATTCTACTATGATGCTAGCTTTTTGTTTTTTCAAATGAAAAATAGAAGAAATAGAAAAAGAATCAGTTCGATGATTTAAGGAGTCTGCAACAAATGACATTGTCAAATTATGCTTTGTGTCTACTTCTTTTCATAATTTTACACCTGAGTAAATAAACCATCCAGATCTAGATTCGTAAGGTATACTGCATGTATTTACTTTTATTTTTCACTTGCTATTTGTCAAAGTGTACTGGTCTAATTGGCTGAAGAAACTCCTGTCCTGCCACTATTAGATTCATTGGATCTTCAATGATTAAAATAGTATGATTTTGTTGCTTTTAGATGTTCATGAGAGTGAGAGTACTAATTCTATTTGTCTTGCTGTCTGCAGGAAGGCCTAAAAGTAGGTAAAGACTTGAGAGTTGATCAGAGTTTTGAAGATCTTGAAGACGCCTTCGAACCAGATGAAAAATTCAGCTTTGATGCAATAATTTGGCTTCGAAAAAATTAATGAACAATGTGCTGTAGTTTGAGAATTAATCAAATTTTGTATTATTTTGATTAAATTATATATTGAATCAGAATTTAGATAAGGTGCAAGCTAACAGAGTTGATGGCCAGATACTGTAAATGGCAGGATGTTCCTCTTTATATGACTCTGTCTATTGTGAAGGAACCATTTTGAAGCTTCTTGACTCTTATACTTCCATTTAGGAAGAGTTGACAAAAGCCATCTTAAGTTGAAAGAGTCAATACCTATCTGTAATGAGAATTTTTAACATATATTGTAAAACAAACTACGACATGTCGCGTCAGTTTGAGTAACATTTGCACTTTTCGTTGCATGAATTGTCAATTTAAATAACCAAATCGACATCATAACTCATAGGGTGCCCTAATAAGAAATAAAATTCACTTTACTCCCTGAACTTGTTATTCAGAAGCGAAAAATTATAAAATTGACCTTTTGGTTCAATTCACCCTCTCAACTTCTAATTTAAGCTCAATTTGCATAACAAAAACCTCTGAATTAGTTCAATTCTTGCATAAATTTAGATTTTTTTTGGACTAATTAAGTATGAACTACAAGTTCAGAAGGTAAATTGAGTCACAAGTTGATTTTGTAGCTTCATTAACAAGTTCGCCCAAAGGCTGCGAACGACCACCTGTAATTTAAATGACATGTCGTATGTGGATGACAGACGGACTGGGCCAGGGCTAAGCTTGATGGACTCTGTTAGTATTGGCCTTTGTTTCATAATTATATGTAAGTTGTAACAAGTCAAGAACTCGCAACTTATTCTGCGTCGGTCAATCCTATTAGAGTAAGGGCTGCCGGTGAGGATTTTACCACGCGAGAGGGATCCCAATCCTAATCCTTGATCATGGTACCTCTCGATCCATCTTTTTGAATTGGTATACATACACTTGCATATAATTGTTTCGAAATTTTGCTATTACAAGTTGCAATTCGTTTGGTGTCAATTTATACGATTTTGTGCTGTTTATGAGTGCGAAATGATTTGGGATTTTTATTTTTTATCATGATCTTCAAGTTTGAAGTTTTCTTTTTGTTAGGTTCTTCTACAGCCAGATCCGTTTCTTAATGAACTTACAAGCATGTTTGAACAGAGTACTGAGAAAGGGACTGTTTGGGTCACTCTCAAACGATGTGAGTTTAAATTCGTGTTTTCTTTTTCTTTTTCTCTGATTGACTCTGTTTTTGGGTTATGAAATATGAGGAGTTATGTATTGGGATTTTCATTAGTGGTTTTTGCATTTTCTTGGTATCTTTTAGCGTCGTTGAAGTCTAAGGTGCAAAGGAATAAAATGACAACTGCTGGTACACCCATCGACTATAGGTGTCTCATCCGTGCTACTAATGGCAAAAAGACAATCTCTACTTCGGTATGTGCCTTTTCCTTGCACATTTTGCAGTTTTCTTTTTATTGATTTGAAGATTTGCTGTACTGTAATGTAAGTGCTCATGTATCATCTCACCTTGAATTGGCTACCCGTAGCTTCATTTACTTCAAAACCCAGCTAGGCCATTTAGGAAGTTTCCAATTCTTGTGTCTTAGGAAAAGTAAGATTTGCATGAATTCAGGGACAAAGTAATACATTATTTCAGGAGTAAATTAGATGCGGGATTTTGCTCGTATATTGTTTGTTTTGTTTACAATTAATTTTTACTCCTAAAGGGTTTTGTTTCATGAATATCCTCCCTTCTTATTGTTAATTGAAACTCAGAATTGGCCTCTCACAGCCCTAATGACTCTAATTCATGCTTTTACCACTTGAGCAGTCGAGTCAAAGGTGTTATAGAAGTATTTAAGATTAAGCTTCCATAAACAAATTGATAGAATATCCTTTTTGAGATGATAAATTTTTTTTGGTTTTCTCAGTTTGTTTAGAAATCTTTGTAGAGCTGTATAATGCCAGTGCAAGGATTTGTCTGTGTGTAATTATTAGTTTTTGTTGTGTTGTTCCTATTTCTGTCCTGTGGTCTTTTATGCACTTCTTTTAACTTTGATTTTTGTGCTATTCAATAGCATTTTGTTTGATGCTGTGAATTTTTTATTAGATGATGCATCATGTGATAGCAAGAATAATTGATTCGATGAAAGAATTGCAGATGGGGATGAAAGAATGAATTTTTGTTTTACTAGTTAGGAAAGGTTCTCATAAATTTAAGCATTTGAATTTGATGTTGGAGAACGGTTGTCCTCCAACTTTCTGTGCAATTCTTATAAAGGTAGACCTTTGAATGGTAATTTAAGAACAAGTCTATTGTATTTTTTCAAGGGGAAAAGAAAAGAACAAGCCAGTTGTGACCAGTAGGCTGTAATTTGAGAAACAATACAATATTCAAGGTGGCAAAAGGTTTAGCTAGGCATTGTAATGAAAGCAAAATTACCCTCCTGTATATGTGGCCACAGTTGGATGTAATGGTTTTTATAAGTTACTCTATTTTTCTGTTCCATATCTCAACAGAGGAGAAGAATTAAAGAATTAAAGGTTATATAATTTAGAATGGATTTGCTTATCTGCCTTTCATATTTGTATTAGTTAATAAGCTCGATTACCAATATCATTTTTGTTCTTTTACCTGTGGTTTCTGGTTCTTTCGCTTGGCTTACACTGCTTTCTTGTTTTTGCTGGGGAGGTTGGGGCCAAGGATCACCAACGCTTCCAAGCTTCATATGCAACTATTCTAAAGGCCCACATGACAGCTTTGAAAAAGAGGGAGAGGAAGGACAAGAAAAAGGCTGCAGGGGCAAATAAGAAAGAGGGTGTCTCAAATAGTTCCAAGAGGGCCTGAACTAAGCTTCTGCATAAACTGAATACCTTTCATTTCCTTTGAACATGCCCTTTGGCTTTTAAGAATGCTAGAGTTTTAATTTCTTATCCGGAAAAAAGTATGAAATGATTTGTTTTTGAGCAATTTGTGGGATTGGAGGACATGTTTTTGTTTGACCGCCTGATTCAGGATGCAGCATCAATTAACATTTATGTGAGAAGTTTTGGAAAAAAGAGGAGGAATTGTACATATATCTTGTTGGAGGTTTATGTTTGATTGATTTTTGCTCTTGAATTTTTCTGGAGCTATACACAGAAATTCTTCATTTATAAGATTGGCCGGTCAAATATGGTGGTTATGCAAAATATTACTGTATGCTTGTAGCACATATTCATTGTTTGGTGTTGGACCATCTTGGTTTGTGAATTTTGATTCTTTTATTATCTGCCAAATAGATCTTACTGTTAACTTCTTGCCCTTTAGGCTACAAGATTGATTACATAACTGCATTTTCTCTGAAGTAATGAATTTCCCCTTTACTTTAAAACCTTCTTAAATAGAGTGCAAGTGATATTTACATGGTTTTCAATCCTTATTACATTACCATAAGAAAACCTACTTTTTCCCTCCTCAGGTTTTAGCCGTGCAGAGGGAGATTAATCAGCAGTGAGCTGATTCTTTTCCGAACACCAAACCAAAGCACTTAGTTTTATTAATGTAAGGGCATTAAAAATTTTAGTTCTGATTGTAATTAATCATCCCTTAACTCTTTAACTTACTGAACCGAACAAATTATTCAATAAGCCAAAAAAAAAAAAAAAAAAAAAAAATAACTTTCCGACACAAACATACGATTAAGTTTTATTAATGTAGGGCATTAAAACTTTTAGTTCTGATTGGTAATTAGATACCCTAAATGCTTTAACATACTGAACGAACAATTTATTTCAAAAAAAAAAAAAAAAAAAAAAAAGAAAACTGAGTCAAACTGTGCCTGCTTATTTAAGAGATGGTATTCAACAGAAGTGACTCGCTTTATTTACAACTGTAAGCTATTTTGAATCTCATGAAATTGGGTTAAATTTTCAATTTTGATTTTGTTCAGTAATCCAAACAGCATTAGAATTGCAAAATTCAATTCCCAAAACCATATTGCTCAAATGCTACCTAATTAAGACGCAAGAGCTAAATTTCCTCCAGAAGAACTATGAAATTGCTCAATAGAGGAAAAAGATTACACTTTCAAAGAATCAAACCGCCACCGTAATGGTTTATTTTATCAAATAAAATCCTGAAAAGTTGATAACCAAGAATGTTAACCAACCAAGTTTCTACTTTGAATACTATACAAAAATGATCTGCCACAAACCAAGAATCTAAAATCCTGTAGCACACATCATCTCGCTGAGATAACTGCATTTGAGATTACTCGTCTGCGTTTGATGCTAATATAGACTTGTAAATTTGTCTGTATTTTGCGGGGCTGTCATAGATAGTTGGGGTATTGATAATTGCCCTTTCAAGCCACATCTTGTCAATCTCCTTCTTTTCTGTCAGTTTCTGGTAGAACCTTTTCCACTTATACATGGCTCTTTTTAAACGCACACTCTTACTTCCTCTTAAAAGATACTTGATATAGTCTTTTGCTAGACGAGTCAACTCCTCACCACTGATGATGTAAACATACTGCAATAATTGAACAAAAAGAACGTTAATATAAATGTCAAAATACAATCTTTGTGAGATATCCAACATATAAGAGGTAGAAAGAGGATTATCATTACCAGAAAGATAAAGCCAATGGTAGCTAAAACCACTTGCAGAGTCTCATCAATGATTCCTGCAATACCCTCATCCTCAGATTCTCCATACCCATCCCCACTGCCACCGCTTCCACCGCCACCACGAGGTGGATTTTTCCCACTGCCTCCATCATAAAATTCTCCCTTTTCAAGCTGCTGTCGTAACACATCTTCTATTGACTGTCCCTTGAAACTTTCCGTGAGTTTCTCAAAAGGATTCCATCCAGAACCCTGGTATTCAAATAGATATTATATCCATATCAAGGAATAAAGAGTATAACCTACAAGTAAAGCGAGAATTTTTTTGGGCCAAAGTATTCAAATGCACTTTTCTTCACAATGTTCAAGACATTGTCTGAGGCACCACTTCTCCAATGTATAACACAAAAATCATTTTTGTGCCTATTGTAAACTGTTGTAATATATTCACATAAATAAATAAATCAATAAACAATATACATAAAAGTTTACTCATGCAATTGCAGGAAAATAACTCATAAAGGGAAAACATGAATCTGATATTAAAGGCAAGCTTAGCAGAATAAGTAGATTTGCTGCTGCGATAAGGTTTCACTTCAACACACATACAAAAGCTGGAAGCATTAAACTAGGAATCCATTCCCAAGGCCAGAAGGAATAAGGTAAAAAACTTCACGGGCAGCAGAGATTAAGTTTCATTAGAATAGAACTTAAAAGCTTTGCTGCTTATCCAATAAGATCAGTTATCATCAGGTCCAAAATATTGCATGAACATTTTTGGCAGCAAGTTCCAAGCAAGGAGAAAGGCAGCTCAATTTACAAAAGACAGCCAACTTAACACTCCCTCATAGTTGGGCCTGTTACGGACTGGTTTTGATTGGTTTCAAGATAAATTCAAACAAAACAACCAAAATTGCCCCTGGAATACTCTTAACTATTCTGAAATTATTAAAAGAAGCAAACTGAACCAAACAGGAAAATCTTTACTTTTCGTCATTTCAATTTTCCAAAAAACTTTCCAACTCTAGCCTTATATGTGTCTTTGTTGCACATTTATACATATTTATAGGTTTAGTTTCAGACTAGACTAAGATAATATTTGAACAATGTTACACAACCTTAAAACTTTGACTTGAATTTTTCTTTTTTCAGATGAGGATAGTTTTCTTAGGAGGTTTTTAATTGACCAGGTGACTAATGCCATTGCCAAGAGCATAAACTTAAGAATAAAATAACAACCTCCCCTTGCACCTATATCTACTTTATTCCCTAACTTTGGGCTGCTAATAGAAAGAAGTACTCAAAGAAACATATATATGAGGTAATGTCAATTCTAGGAACATAATCTGAGTTCAGATGAAATTTTTTTTCATTATCCAGAGAGTTGAATAAAGAAGTTTCAAAATATGAAGACAGTTGAACATCCTGCCTAATCCATAGTCACAAACTTACTGTGCACTTGATGAATAAAATTTTACTGATTCCTTTCACAATCATCAAACTGACAAATAGAAAGACTAAGAAGAGAGGCTTCTTACCCCATTGTCTTTTTCAGACTTGTCTTTGCCACCAAGCAAGCAAACAGGTGAGCGTTGCTGGTATTTCATTACAGTTTCACGTTGTTGGTGTCTGGATACAAGTCCATTATGGTGGAAAATTAGAGCATTAGAAGCAAGTTTCAAAGACTTAACATGATTTGGTAAGACATATAATGTACGAAGTTGCTCGCGTGATTGAGATGTATTTGGAACAAGATGACAAGGTCTGCAGGGACTTGCATGAATACAAGTCGCCATGTATCATCAATCTCAAATGTCAGTCACCCACGCATTAATCTTCCAGAACCCTACATTTTCATACTCCAAGCATCATTAAGCAAATTAACTGAGTTGAACATTAAATATATAAAGAATATTGGATAACCAATAAAAATAACAAAAATTGATAGATAAGCAGCAACATTGAAAATGAAATTACTATGAACTTTATACATGGAAAGAACAGTTCTATTATTTCCCACCAAAAATTGTCTGACATATTTCTAAATTCCTAGTTCTATTGGCATGAGCTATACATTCATTGACAATTAAAATTAAAAAAACCCTAAACTTTCAATATTTCAAATGGTATGCCTTAATGAATTACATAATTACATAATTATAAAAAATATGAACAAGAATCCACCAAAACACACATAAATTGTAGCTAATATATAATCATTTTGAAAGAAACATATGTTTCGTCTTCTTCTTTAAATAACATTATAGTTTTTCGACAATTTTCCAGAACCTCAACATTCTAAATTCGCCGAACGAGAGAGAGAGGGAGACATAGAAAAGATTAAAAAGCGGAGGGGAACGTATGCTCACCGGTGATTCTGTACCGTCGGGTTCTCCGCCGGTTGTCGCTCCTGTATTTCCTAGAAGATAGAAGAGGAGGAGGAAGAAGAAGAAACGAATGGCAGATCAAATAGGTGAATATAAAGTGTGAGTTGGGCTTGTATGTTATGGGACTTAATTGGGCTTCATTTGGGCCCAATTATTTCATGTCGAAGGGTAAGAAAAAGGATATGGTACTGTATTGGCCCACCAATTTAAACCGGATCCTTCTATTGTTTTTCTTCCTTTCTTCCACTTCCTCTGAGAAAGCATTGAGACGGAGATTGGAACAGTATTATGGCCATGGATTTCGAGGAAAATTACGAAATTAACCGCACAGCCGATTTCATTCACAGTAGGAACTTCACCAGAGTTGCTCTACAGGTATAAGATTTCATATGCGAGTATGTGTTTTATATATTGTTTATATTTTTGTGTTCATGTAGCTGTAGAACCCCTGCAAAACCTCTCACAAGTTTGGACTTTCTGTTTGGCTGTAGAGAAAATGGAGAAAAAGAATAAGTAAAGACACTTGTACAATTTACAAGTCTTTTCTGGTTTCTGTTTCTTTGGGAAACAACATAATGATTAATGAAGTAGAACTTTAAGTTAATTGCGTTAAAAAGCTAGTGAACTCGGTTGAATATATTGGAGAAGTTCTCAAATGAAATTTGATTACTTCTTTTTTTATTTCATAGCTATTAGCTATACAAGTGGTTTCTTCTTTTTTTTTTTTTTTTTTTTTTTTTTGTACAATTTACATAGTTTTTTCTGTGTTCTGTTTTCTTTGGGAAACATACATTCATGTATTAAGAAGGTAGATATTAAGTTAATTAGCGGATTAAAGTCTAGGTGATATCTGGTTTAATATATATTTGGGAATTCTCAAGATTCTTCTTTTTTAATAGCATAGTCTAATACATTTCTGTTTTTTTTTTCTTTTTTTTTTTAATACTTAAACAATAGAGACAGACTTCATTACCAGATTTTGGTACTATTATGATGGAATACTGTGAATCATCAAAGCTCCGATCGCAAAAAACATTTTTTTTTTTTTTTTTTTTTTTTTTTTAAATTGAGGAATTCTTCTGCATTTTGTGCTATTTTGAGAGTTTGTGGCTAACTTAGTGTGCTGTAATCTCAAAGCTCGTGCAAAAGCTTATCAACTTATGCTTTTATTGATTGTTAAGACACTTAGAGGGAAAGAGAAGAAAATGAAGGCTCGAATTATGTTGATTCATGAATTATTATACTAGCTTGTGGGTTCTACTTGGCTTAGAAGTCCTTTTAATTTTTTTATTTATCAAGCTGTAGATCACTCTATTAAGTTCTGAAATGGCTTTACTTCTTTTCAATATATAGATTTTAAGGCTTACTTCTAATTGAATGGCATTTGCTTCATAGTTTCCAGATGAATTATTGAAGGATTCAGTCAGAGTGGTGAGTGCTCTTAGGGACAAACTTCAGTCACTTAGAGCATCTATTGCTGAAAAAATTGGGGAAAACAAAGAGGCTCGCTTGTTTGTAATGGCAGACACAACGTATGGCAGTTGCTGTGTTGATGAAGTTGGTGCTTCTCACATTGATGCTGATTGTGTCATACATTATGGACATACTTGTCTCAGCCCGTGAGTACTTAACAAAGTGTTTATGAATACATGCACTCTCATACAGTTGAAAGTGTTACTGTTACCTTTGTAGCTGTTGTGCTAGTTCTTAACATATATATGTTACTTATATATGGTGACAAGTGCTATTGTCATTTTTGAAGGCTAGGTCATTGATTGTGCTCGTCACTTTAGTGATCTGCATTAACTATTAATGAAATTTCTTGGCTTTTTTATTTTTTATTATTATTATTTTTAATTATGGATCACTGTTTGGTTCCTTTCAGAAAAGAAATGTATGTAATGATGTTTGAATGTAATTTCTTTTCATTTACAAACCTTAGAAGTACCAGGTTGTATAAGAAGTTTAGGTTGGAAGACTTTCTGAGTTTAATAGATTGGCTTTAAGGTTGACATTTACCATATTTTTTGACTTACAATCATGGTCCCGTTCTATATATTGGAGATTACGAGATAAATGCTATTATTTTGTCTTATGTGTATTCCATGTTTGTTTTGAGGCCATTTTTTTTTTTTTTTGGCAGGACATCAACCCTTCCAGCATTCTTTGTTTTCGGAAAGGCTTCCATTAGCATACACAGTTGTGCTCAAAGTTTGTCAGATTATGCCTCAACCAACAGCAAGCCAATAGTGGTATAATGCATAATTTTTAACTTCTGCATCTTTACTTCTTGGTTGTGTTGATGTTGTGTTAATGGATGTCATGACAAACATGGGCATTTCAGTTTAGTATATTCAAATGATGAGTGTTTATGAGTTCTGCTTTTGCTATTAGCAGCATTTTTGTTGAAGCATTGTGAAGAACATATAGACATGGTGGTCGTTGCATAAACTTGCCTATATATTCTATCTTCTCCAAGAAAGAGATAATTGCGGCTTGATTTGATGCGTATGCCATCAATATATAGTTATGCTCTGCTAGTTATAGTTGTTGTACTGTTACAGATGTTTTCCTATCCATTAAGGATTAAGTGAAGCTAGGATGCTATTTTGGGGTTGAAAGAATTTACTTGTATTTAGTTAAATTTATTTGTTTATTTAATGGTAATGCAAATCTGATTCCTACTAGGACTCTAGTGTAACCTTGTTTTTATTTCTCTGGTATTCAGTTGACATAATACATTGAGTGTTGACATGAAATTTTGGTTGCTGCATTCATATTATTCTCCTTCTCCTTCAATCCGCTGCAACTTTCCAATGTTTTAATAAATTAAACCCTTCTAACCTAGGTTTTGGCAATATCAGTGATTTCATGATCTCTTTTGTTTTCTTCCCTGATATAGGTCATTTATGGACTGGAATATGCACATGCAATCCCACATATTAAAGAAAAATTCATGGCAGCATCATCAATTGAATCTGGACCCAAGCATTCACAATCCCTTTTTGCTGATGTGATGTGCTCGGTGATAAATCCCTTTGACAGTCACAAGAACTCTGATGGGCTCCCGAAACTGCTTGGCGACTACAATGCTAGTAATGACGTCGATGCAGCAGTTGGTTCTAAACATAAGATTGGAGGCTTGATCTGGGAGCTACCTAATGGACGCAGGATGGAGGACTATTTGCTTGTGTGGATTGGTTCTGACAGTTCAGCATTTGCAAATGTTGTACTCACATTTAATGGCTGTGAGATAGGTACAAGTATTGCAATATTTTTCTTGAAATCTGTTTCAAAATTCTGTGTGGATATTTGCAAATGTCTTCTTAATTCATTTTCATGCATGTGCCCTTATCCAAGTTTGATTGACAAAATTGTGGAGGTGGAGATATGTCTTGACTTTTTTAGGCCATTGCTTCTGTGCCTAGTTTTTGGCATAAGTGTGGTGCACACTCCATGCTGTTCTTCAGTCTATTCTATTGACTCTGTGATTGCTTTTAGAGTGGATAAGGATAGCCAAATTTCATCTGCTCCATTTGTATTGATTTACTCTTTTGCTTTGCAACTTGACCTTTGATTTTTGTTTGCTCTCAACATTTAGCTTGTCTAATTCCCCCTTCTTTTTGGTAGTTGCTTACCCAAATATGGTTTTGAGAACCTTGAAATAGAAGTTTGGTTATTCCATTCCTGTACTTGATGGAGAATTCTAAAATTGGAAGACTTTACCTGCAAATCAATTAGTCTTGGTTTGGCTTATACACACAATTAATATTGAATTTACAATGAATCACAGTGACAACTATGTCACTTTTTCTTAATCTCCTTAAACAATCCTCATTTTGATATGATGGTGCTTGTTTTAGTCAGATATGATGCAAAAGAGAATCGCTTGGTGACAGATTTATCTCAACAGAGAAGGATTCTTAAGCGTAGGTATTACTTTACAAGATAAACAATACTCACGTTTAATCTCTGTCTCTCACTCAAAACATACATCTATTTTCATTCTGGCATCAAGAGTTCTGGACATATTCTCCTATTTGTTAGGTAGGCTCTCCATTAATGCTGTGTAATTTTTGCTTCTGTGTTTTCATGCAGATATTACCTGGTGGAAAAGGCGAAAGATGCTAACATTGTTGGAATTTTGGTGGGAACACTTGGTGTTGGTATGCTCTATTTTGTTTGATGTTTATATTTTTATATTGTTGGTGTGATTTCATACTATATCTATTTTTCTTTACTGAGAATGTGGGAATTTTCTTTGACTATAGTCTAGAACTTTTATTGGTGTTTAGTATTAATATTTTTCAGTTACTTGAGAGAGTGAATTGCGAGTAACTACTTTTTATTAATTGTCTTTTTAGGAAGCATGACTACTTCCGTAGATAATAATTTTTTATATACAAGCACGTCTAATCTATTACATTGACAGGATTACTAAACATTCATTATTTCTAATGTTCTTTATAAATTTTATGACAGTTTAGCTGTTTGGAATTTGTGTCTTATTATACATATGCATATGCATCATTTTGTTACTGGCAATGCAAAATCATATTGTTCTATCATTGATCAGAGGTTTCTTTATGAAAAATTCAAATTGGAGTTTGAAGAAGGGGAAGGAGAAGTCTTTGACTCGCAATACAGAGGGTATTTTTTATCCAGTAACTTGTTGATAATTGTTTGTCTAACTCTGTCCATTTTGATGCAGCTGGTTACCTTGATATGATTCATCAGATGAAAGACCTAATCACTAATGCTGGGAAAAAGACTTACACTCTTGTTATGGGAAGACCAAACCCTGCAAAACTTGCCAACTTCCCTGAGGTTAGGCTCAATTCATTGCGTGGTGATAATTTGTTTTCCCCCTAATTAGAGAACTCATTATTTTGAATTTATATGATAACTATTTCTATTTGTGACAGTGTGATGTTTTCATCTATGTTTCCTGCGCCCAAACTGCTCTCTTGGATAGTAAAGAATTCTTAGCTCCAGTTATTACTCCATTTGAAGCCATGGTAGCTTTCAACAGGTTTGCATATATTTTTGCTGTTTGATCTGAAAATATTGAACTCCCAAAACCCAACTGTAGGCTGATTCAGCATTATATTTGTGAAACCCTGTTTTGTAATTGTTTTCCCAATGATCACTTACTCCTCCTCATTCCGTACCATCCTTCCTTGATGAGTTGAGAAGATCTTATACAGTTTACAGACCAATACGTGTGACATCTACTATCCAGTTAGCAAAGGAATTGCTAATGAATCCATTGATTCATGGTAGACCCACCACACTATAAGTATTAGTGGTACCACACCTGACTCCCTTATCTTCCTCCAAACAAAGGAAAAAGGAAAATAGTAAGAATATCAGACAGAAGAGGATGCAACGTATCAAACATTTATGAGAATTTTGCTTCTAAAATCTTGCAAATATTAACTCCAATTATTCCCTCTTATCAAACATTTATTGTCAGAACCCAAGCTAATCTATAATGGAGATTCTCACTCATTGGCGTAACGTGAGCTTTATTAAATAATAAAGCTGAAACTGAGCAGAAAGTAAATTGAGGGGCTCGTTCCATAAGTCCCAATTAGAAGAGATGGGATGTTTCTGAAAGTTGTGTTCAAGATATAATTAATGATATTTAGAATTTTGGTTTTTCTTTCATCATTGCTGATTGAATGATTAAAGTTTGAAATTTTTTTCTGCAGAGGAAGCCTATGGACGGGAGAATATGTGATGGAATTTCGGGATTTGATTAATTCATCACCAGCGGAAGCAAGAAACAATTCTGAAGAAGCAAGGTTTTCTTTCATGCAAGGCAGATATGTAGAAGATTTTGATTTGCAAGGTACTTTTCACTCTTCATTTATCTGGTTCTGCTGGATTTGCTGGATGATTTGGGTGAAATTGGAGATGATTTTGAATTTTTGGCTGTAGAAGTTGATGGTGCATGAATGATTTTCCCTGTTTTTTTAAATATTTTTATTAATAGGTAAAATGACTGAACTAGCTGATCAACATCGTTCATTCAATCAATACACAACTTGGCAGAGATAAAAATCCAATCACATCTTGTCTGGAAATTATTTGATAAAGTATTGTGGTTCATATAAAAATTACGTATAATTTGTGGGAAATCTGAAAGAGACAGAGAAACGTCTTGTTTCCTTTTTAAAGGTGTTTTTTTATTTATTTATTCTGTCATTCCACATCTTGTCCATTTATTAAAATTCTGAATTTACAAGGTTCTGATTTGAAACGTGTTAACTGGTGTATCCTCACTGAACTTATTTTTGAAGTCTATTGATAACTTGTATAAACTGCATATGATATTTGATTATACTTAGACAGAAACGTGTTAACTGGTGTATCCTCACTGAACTTATTTTTGAAGTCTATTGATAACTTGTATAAACTGCATATGATATTTGATTATACTTAGACAAATTGAGATTGTTGGCCAAGCAGAGAAAATTGAAGAAGATAATGGAGCCCTTGCTTTAGCAAATGCAACAGACAAGGCCCTGCAATTGCACGATAGAAATTCTACATCGCTCGGGAAGGGAACAATTAAGTCTGGAGCTGAGTACTTCATTAATCGATCTTTTCAAGGTCTTGACATTCACAATGACAATTCAATGCCGGAGCCATATTTGATTGGTAGGACTGGTAAAGCTTCAGGTTATGAACATGAGAAAACCAAGCTCGATAACCTGTGATCAACTGTAAGAAAACACAAAGAGATGGATAAGAACGTAGCTACTGGGATGTCATGTCAAGATGGGTAAAGCTTGGCGGATGAGAGAAATTTTTCAGATAAAATTCTGGTTTTTTTCTGTTTTTTCCCCTTAAATTACTAAATATTGGAGTTAAACCTACAATATTTAAATGCCACCAGAATTAGACTATTCTTCTTCTTTTTATTTTTTATTTTTTTATTTGACCTTTTTTTCTTGTTTTTATTATATCCTTTCTTTTGTATTTGTGGAAAGATGATGGGAACTAATCATCTAATCAAGAAATTAGATAAATGGTCTATCAAGTTATTCATGGATTAAGTATTAATAACAAAGTTACAATAGTATCACAAATGATTACATTACATGAACATTCTGAAGGGAGCATTTTGCCGCCTTTATAAAATCTATTTGGTATGAATTCAGATTAGTCGGATCATTGAGTTTCGATTACAAACAGTGAAAACCAAAAAAGAAAGAAAAATTTACACTACATGAAGGGATCATTATTAACTAATTGTGCCTGATTTTGTTAATGTTACAAATCAATTAAGTGTGAGCAACTTACCCCGCAAATATCCTAAAAAATACTACTCATAATGCTTCGTATCTAATAGAAGTGACATGATTTAAAAGAATCATCAAACTAGCATTGCTAGCAACTGCCAATATAAATTAATCATTCTTCTTCATATGGCAGTTATGCATCAAACAAAGCATACCTTGAATGCTATACCTAAACCATACTTAATTAGGTGAGAATCATGATTTCACCACCATTCTTATTTTCAAATTTAAAATTATACAATAATAATTAATAAATCAAATCCACCTTATTCCATTCTCTATAAATTTAAATAAAGAAAAAAATAATTCCTCCTCGACATTTATATAATCTGCAATAAGTACCCATTCCTCTGGTCTTCAACCTAGAATCTCTGTGTGTCGATTACTACTTTTACACTTACATTACTTACTATAATATATATATATATATATATAATCTTACTATAAATATCTTATCCACTCTTAAGCTTCTTTTCCTATCAAGAACATTTTCACTCCCTTTTCTTTCTTGATTGAAAAAGAAAAAACAATGGCTTTCCTTAACTTGAGAAAAAATCAGCTACCAATAATTTTAATCATTGCTTTGGCTATGCAGGCCGAGTGGGTAGTTGCTCAAAATTGTGGTTGTGGTGCAAGTTTATGTTGTAGCCAATATGGGTATTGTGGCACCGGAGACCCTTACTGCGGCCAAGGGTGCCAACAGGGCCCTTGCTATGGTGGCGGAGGTAACAATGGTGGTGGTGCTGGGGCTAGTAACGGTAGTGGAGTTGGTGTTTCAGTGGCGGATCTTGTTACTAGTGATTTCTTTAATCGGATAACCAGTCGTGATAGTGGAAACTGTGCTGGCAAGAACTTCTATAGCAGAGATGCATTTATTAGTGCTCTTAATTCATTTCCTCAGTTTGGTAAGATTGGAGCAAGCGTTGATGATTCCAAGCGTGAGATTGCTGCTTTTTTTGCTCATGTTACACATGAAACTGGACGTAAGATCTCTCCCATTATATAGATATATATATATATATTTTGCATATTATAGTGCTAGAGTCTGTATATTATTTGAGTTGAAATAACATGGTCAACTGTGATAGAGAAAACTCGAACATAAGCTTACTTCCCACGTTCTTATAAAAGTGGGATAGCAATTATAGAAGTTCAAAAAATTGTTTTATAGCAATACACTAAGGAAGTCATGAAGTCACTAAACCAAATTATATGAGGGGTGAGAAGTCTTAAATTTGAGTCTTCTTGATTATGAGTATTTTCATCAATTTGGTGAGTCCAAGGGAGGAAGTGCAGTGTTATTTCGGTCGTCGGGCCTCTCAACCAATAAAAAAAAGTCATTAAATATGTATAATACATTAATTAACAAAACGAAACATTTTGGTTTTTGCAGATTTCTGCTATATAGAAGAGATAGATGGTGCATCGAAAGACTACTGTGATGAATCAAACAAGCAATATCCATGTGCTCAAGGTAAGAAATATTACGGTCGTGGACCTATTCAACTAACATGGAACTTCAACTATGGTGCAGCTGGCCAAAGCCTTAATTTTGACGGATTAAACTCGCCGGAAATTGTTGCAAATGATCCGATCATGTCATTTAGGACGGCTCTTTGGTTTTGGATGAACAATGTTCGCCCTGTCATAAGCCAAGGTTTCGGAGCAACCATTAGAGCTATCAATGGTGCAATTGAATGTAATGGCGGAAACCCTAGTTCTGTTCAAGCTCGAGTTGGATATTACAATGATTATTGTAACCAATTTGGTGTTACTCCAGGTGGTAATCTTATTTGTTAGGGTTTGGTTCTTATTTAATTTATGAGACAATTGAATAAAATGTTTACTCTTGCAATTTTCTGCTCATTGTAGTTGATGTATTAACTCTTTTGTTTTTTTTTTTTTTTAACCTTGTTGGAGTTCAATATGTAATAGAGAAAATGGTGTTTTGTGCTTCATTATTATTTTGTAGTACTGCATTACTATATCATTATTTCTACTATATCATTACGTTTTGGTGAAACAATCAGTTATTTGAAACTCAGTTCTGAATTTGCGCCGAGTAAGTTGATAAAGAGGTAAATTATTTCTTACTAAAGTTTAAAATGCTTCATATTCAAAACTCGAATTCAAAAAATTTGATTAAGGAAAAGGAAAAAAGACCGTTGCTATTCAATATCACCCATTGGTTACTATTATTATTATTTTGATATAATGAGAAAGCGAAGCTTAAAGATGAAAAACTAAAAACCCATCAAATAAAATTATAATTACAAGGAAAGAAAGAAAGTGTGTTGCATAGTAAAATAATATTTGGTTGGCATCATTGTCTAAGAGATTGTTTGTCATATTTCTAAGATTGATATATTCTATTATAGTTTTGATTTCATTATTTTAAATCCCATTTTAAAAATGAGATTTTCTCAATTTTATCATTTTTATTAATAATATAATTTAAATCATTTAATTTTTTTTCCAAAATTATTATTCAAAATCTATCGATTATGCTTTTTCTAAATTTCATTGTTTTTGCAATGCATGGATTCTACATTTTATATATTTTATAAAATAACCCAAACGACTTTTAAGTAATTTTGAAATTATGAATAAATAATTCCAAAGATTTATTGATTATTCAAAGGTTGTAATATGTTAGCAGCCAGCAATGATGAGATAGGCAATTGTGAATTGGTAAAACTTTGTGCCTCTCCCAAATTGGCTGCGGAATTATGCGGAAGAAGTTCTCCGTCCACTATTGACTCTAACTTTCCAGAAGCAAGTTTGGCAAATATAATTTTATTTTTTTTAAATTATTGATATCTGGACTCTATTACGAAGGATTGCCTAATTCGGTTTGAAATTTAGTTATAATTAAGGCTCTTTGCCCCTTTCTGTAGGTGTGTTTAGTGGGGTTCTAACCTGAAAGTCATTTCTACATGCCCAGTTTGCATTGCCGACTGAACCAAAACCTGACAAATATAATTTTTTTAGCGAAAAAATTGGAAAATTCTTTAAACAGTCACTCAATAGTATATTCTCAGTAATATTATATTTAAAAAACCTCATATCTAAAAAGATTTCCTAACTAAAATCAATTTTTAGCACATAAAAAAAATTCACATTGCAAAAAACTATTGAGAAGTATTATCCCGACTGACATAATATAAATGAAATTAATATTTTTTTATTTACAATTTTAGTCATTGGCCATTTTTGACTAAGATGAATATTTTAAATAAATTAATATTAATAAATGAGAAAAAATATATATTACTTTTATATGTATATTAGCCCGATGAATCCTTTTTAAAAAATTGTTTCATCAATTATTTTTTAGGGCATAATATTAAATGAAATAGAGATTGCTAACTAGCTGTGATTTGATTGGTTTTTTAGTTTTCATTTCTTGTAAAAATACAAAAAGTGAGAGATCTTGAACTCGAGTCATTTTTATCATAGAAATTTTCGCCAAATTGATGAATGTTATTTAAAGAGAACTATCTATAGCCCATATGTTCTCCTTATTCATAGTCCTAGGTATAAAAATAAAATTTAGATTTGACTGTTCTTTAGAATTATAAAATTTGTCAGGTATAAAAATAATTTAGAATTATAAAATTTGTTAGGTATAAAAATAAATTTTAGATTTGACTATTTAGAATTATAAAATTTGTTAGGTATAAAAATAAATTTTAGATTTGACTATTCTTTAGAATTATAAAATTTGTCAAAAATTACAAAATTTATGTAAATAGCATACTCTACTTTTCTATTTCATATATTACTGCCCATTTACATGTTTGGGTATTGCTTCCATATTTTGATTTTTTTTTAAAATAAAATTTTATTTTTTAAAAATCGAGTTAAAGCTCTAGTAATAAATTACTTTTCGTGGTTTCTTTTTTTTTTTTTTTTTTAGAGAACTTTTCGTGATTTATCTTTGTTTGGACAATTTATTTTCTATTTTAAGACATAAATAATAATAAAATAACTAAATTTAAATAACGGGTCTTCCTTTCAAATTTAAGAAACAAAGTTATTATTCCAAAGTAAACTCAAAACAGAACTAATTAATTGTAATTAATTAAACCCAAAAAAGTCTTAGGATAGAGCATTTATATGTAAACCTAAAATGTTTAAGTGAATCTCATGCTAACAAATTGTTATTACCTCGGTTCCATTATACTTGTCACGTTTGAAATTCGATGTTCCTTAAAAAATATTAAATTTATTCAATTTATAATAAATTATTGAATAAATTGACTATAATACCATTAATTTAAAACTAATTCTATAAGAAAACTATTAAATTGAAGTAATATTATAATAAATTATTGAATAAATTGACTATAATACCATTAATTTAAAACTAATTCTATAAGAAAACTATTAAATTGAAGTAATAATTATTGATTATATATAAAGGATAAAATTGATAAAAAAAAGATTTATTACTCCTTAAAATTACAAATGTGATAAGTATTTCGAAACGAATTTTGTTTTCAAATGTGACAAATATTATGAAACAGATTGGTACTTAATTAGCAGTAATTGAAATAATTAATCGGTCAAAATTAATATAATTTCTGAAAGGACTAAAGAATTAAATTCTACGAAGAATGAATCACGTAAGTCAAGTAGTTCAGCCAGAAATACGTAGCCTACACGCACCTCTTAATTTCTTAATCCCATAATTAAGCATGTATATTTAACTTAATTCTCTTATCCTAATTCTTATACTTAAATTTGGCCTTACATAGGGGTGCACCTGAGTCAAGTTGGGTCCGATTTATTGATTTAAAATATTTGACCCGTATGTGCATATCAATGATTTTTTAACCTAAATCAACCCATTAAATGCAAACCTGTGGATTATAAATGGATTGGGTAAACTCACGGGTTAAATAAATGATAATAATAAATTTTTTTTAAAAAATAAAATATAACTATTTAAGAGAAATTAGTGAGAAAATTAAAAAAATTTAAAAACTTAATTAAACAATAATTTTAACAAGTCTTAACATGATCATCATTGTCATCATCATCACAATCATAATCAACAATGAAAAATTAAATTTTCTAATAAAAAAGACAACTAGTAAAATTAAAAAAATACTTAGTTACAATAAATTACAATATATTCCAATAGTGACAATTCCAAAAAGCAATAATTTAAAGTCAATATCTACTAAATATGTAAATAATTTAGTATTTATATTCAAAATTATAAATCAAATCAAATTAGCTAAATAATTCATAATTACACACATATATTATTTATGGGTTGGGTCGGGTCTATGGGTTTATCTAATGAACTCGTGACCCAACTCAATCCGTGAATTATAAAGATGACTCGTCCAATCCAATCAATTATATCTTCAAACCCGCCTAATTCAATTGAATTGGATTGGGCTGCTCGGGTTGGATCGAATTGTAACGGGTCATGTGTGGCCTTATCCCAATGTGAACAGGAAATTGAAGGTCGCATTTAATAAAATTAAAAATTAAGTGTATAAGTGCTAAATAACATAAATGTTTAAATTTATAAATTGTAAGATTATTATTATTTCTTTGGATATAATTGTAAATTTATTTAAAGATCCAATAACTTCATAAATCATTGCAAGTTTTTAAGCTAAAAATCTTAACTTATCATTTTAAGTAGTAGTGTATTTGAGCGATTAATGTTTTAATTTCCATTTATTTAAAGTGTTTGATAGTCTAAGGTTTATATTAGGGTATAAAATTTGAAAATGGCTGACAAAATGCTAGGAAAACATTTAATAACTGTTAAAACAACTAACAACTATTAAAATAATTAATTTTGTTAATTATCACGACACAAATATTGAAAAATTTAATTTTTAGTATTCGTGTTATCAAATAGCGTCTTAATTAAACTCTATGTGCATAAAATAAACCAATAATAATATAATAATAAAATTATAAATTTATACCTTTCATTTTCTGATTTTAATACTACCACTTAAAAGTCATCATAAATACCTAACTTTATTACTATAAATACCTCACTCTACCTCCACCTTCTATAACAACAGCCACAAGAACAATAGACTTGACTCCCTTAATTTGTTACTCTTCAATCCAAAAATGGCTGTACTTGGAAAAACTGTGCTTGCCATCAGTCTATCCATTGTTATAATTGCAACAATGGAAAAAAACGTTTCAGTGTTTGCTCAAAATGTGGGAGATATTGTTACTGCTGATTTCTTTAATGCGATAATCAATCAAGCTGTGCTGATTTCTTTTAATGCGAGTAATCAATCCAAAGCTGGTGCTGATTGTCCTGCAAGAATTTCTAACTAGAGATGCATTTTCTTAATTGCTCTCCAATCTTTTCTGACTTTTGGTAACCTTGGAGGTGATGGTTCCAAGCGTAGATTGTGCTTTTTTTTGCTCATGTTACTCATGAGACTGGACGTAAGATCTCTTTCTTTCTTTTTTTTTTTTTTTTTTTTTGTATTTAGATTTTCCTAGAAATATAGAATTCTATACCAACCAAATATTAGAATCTCACTTTTTAAATCATTTCCATCTTGATAGAATGTGAATGCTTCTTTTCGTTAATCTCACGTGAGAAATTGACCTCTCATTTAGTCAGTAATTGTCTAGATGTGAAAGGTTAATGAAGTTCACTTTATCATGTCCGTTAAAAGTGTGCTGTATATTTATTGAATGTGATTATTATTTTAAAATTAATAAATAGTATATTCAAATAGAAATATTGAATATTACCTTTTTAAATCATGTCTTGTGTTGGAGCCTCCTTTAAATCATGTCTTGTGTTGGAGCCTCCGGATCTCGATGTTATGTGAGTGCTCCTTCTCCTCGGTCCCACATGAGAAATTGACCTCCCATTTAGTTAGTAATTGATTAGGTGTAAAGATGTGCAAAACCATCAATTGAAACGAAACGAAAATCAAACTTACCCATTGCAGTTTGGTTTGATTCAGTCAACTGTTCAAAAAAGATTCAGTTTATCGTTAGGTATTTTGAATCGAATTTGTTGTTTGGTTCGAGTCAATTTTAAAGAAATTCATCGATTGAGTTTAAAATAAAACCAACATGGCAAAAATCAATCAAAATCGATCGAGTTAGTTCGGTCAGATACTAATTTCAGTTCGATCTGTTGTTAAAAAACTTAAGTTTATATATTTTTTTTTATTTTAATTTGATTCAGTTCAAATCGAACGGATTATTTATTCACCTTATCCAAGTGTGGAAATTTAATAAATTTCACTTTATCCTTGTCTACCAAAAGTATGCTATATATTTGTATCCAATTTGATTATTATTTTTAAAATTAATAACAATATATTCAAATAGATCGTGGATTAAACACAACATTTTGGATGATAAATTTTCAGATTTCTGCTACATAGAGGAGATAAACGGTGCTTCTCAAGACTACTGCGACGAATCAAACACACAATATCCATGTGCCCCAGGAAAGAATTATTTCGGCCGCGGACCGATTCAACTAACCTGGAACTACAACTATGGTGCAGCTGGTCAAAGCCTTAACATTGACTTGTTTTCAACTAACCTGGAACTACAACTATGGTGCAGCTGGTCAAAGCCTTAACATTGACTTGTTAAACTCTCCTGAAACTGTTGCAAATGATCCTGTTGTGTCGTTTAAGACAGCTCTCTGGTTTTGGATGACCAATGTACGCCCTGTCGTAACCCAAGGTTTCGGAGCCACCATTAGAGCCATTAATGGTGCAATTGAATGTAATGGTGGAAATCCTCCAGCAGTTCAGGCTCGGATTGGGTATTACACTGATTATTGCAACAAGATTGGAGTTGCACCTGGGGATAATCTTAGTTGCTAATTAAAATTAAGTTCTTGTTTAATTTAATAAATAGGGTTGCTAAATAAATTATCGATCCTTGTTTGAGTTTCAGAAATAATTAGAAGCTAGTTCATCCTTAGAGATTATGTAAACTAGCTTCAATGAAATAAAATAATCTTTGACGTTATAACTAAGTTTATTTTTTACATTTGGAAGATCCAATGAACCGGAATAATATTAATGATAACTTTTGTCCTAGATATGACTAAAACTCGAAACTTTTCACTTATCATATCTATTACAAGACGTAAGATGACCAATCAGACGTTGGGTCTGTTCGACAAAATTAGCTGTTTTTTTAGCTTTTCATAAAACGTTAAAAACTAAATGTTAACTTTTTAGTTCAAATGTTACGTTAACATTTAGTATCAGCTTTTTAAGTAATTTTATCAAAACGCTAAAAGTTATTTAAAAAATTGTTGTCTAACATAACCGTGCAGAGATGATTTAAAGCTTCCATTAGCTTTTTCTTATTGAACAAAACATCAATTTGGATTATATTGACAAGCATGTGGGTAGTTTAAGTATAAAAGTCAAAATCACAAGTTTTTTTCTTTATAAAAAAAAAAAAAGCAAAATCAGAAAATCTAACGAAGAAAAGACCTACTGAATCAGCATTCACTGAAAGAATTTGGAATGTTGTGAGGTTTCTTTTTTCTTGAAACATATAGGAAAAGGACCAAACAAGAATTAGTTTACCTTGACGATGTTCAATTGAGTGGAAAAAAAAAAAAAAAGAAAGAAAAAGGGAAAAAGAAAAATCTTTGCAATGGGTAATTTGCTAGACTTTTCCAATCTATCCGTAAAAACCAAACTTGTCTTTTTTCTTGGTTGACACGTGACATTACATATTTAATTTGATTTGTTGATATATCTTTAGAAACATAAATTTAAAAAGATATAGATCACATTTTATCTAAACGGTATTTTCATATTTTATATATTAAGCATATGAAAATTATTATTAATTTAATGAATATATATGTATCATCTAACCTAATAATAAGTAGCAATATTTTTTTTCATATGTCAATAGATTTACTAATTAATGTCTATTAATAAATCTTACGTTTGAATCCTCTTAACCATAAGAATTTTCTAATTTGACGTTAAGAGAGAGTCACCGCTCTTATGTAGTTTACAATACTATTTTGGTCTATTAAACCTCTCGATGAATAATAAAACATATTTTGTTTGATAATAGCTATAATAGTGCGATGAATTAATTTTTGCACATTATAATTAGTTATTTTAATTTATTAAATATATGTAAATTCAATTAAATAATGCATTTCATCCACACTGGAAAAAAAAAAAAAAAAGATATTCCCATTTTACTTAGGTTACAAGAATTTATATTTTAATAGGCTATGAACGATATTCCCATTTTACTTAGGTTACAAGATTTATATTTTAATAGGCATGAACATTTTTATTAATTGATTGAAACTTTAGTGTAACTCATGAGCAAATAATATTATTAATGACGATTATATATATATCCTCATCTTTTGATATTTAGATGATTTAGACATTAGACTTTTCAATTCTTTAATGGTGACTTCCTTTCGTTTCGATACATCAATCAAACCAAACTTTTACTGTCCCTAAAGACTATAAAATGCTTACAAAGACTACAAATTTTAAATTTTTATTTTTTAAAATCGAGAAATAATGAATAACAACCTAAATTTATTATCAAATGGTATATGTATTTATTATTAAATTATGTTTTGATATATAATTATTAATTTTAAATTGATTCATAAAACTTAATTATTTATATATCACTTAATAAAAATCAGTCAAAAATTTTACTTGAAGTTTTTATTATCTTGAAAATGGACCTTAATAATTGCTTAGACATGGAAGGTTACTGAGTCCACACTTTTAAAAATTTTTTAAAAAAAATCTTATTTTTTAATTGATTTAATTTATAAAACCACACCGGACTAGGCAATGAACTTTTAAAAGTAATTAATCACTGAATTATTATAAATTAATCATTTAATAATACCGTTAGTTTGTGCTTATAGGTGTTGACGTGGCGTGAAACATCGATAAAATATTAGATAATTTTATACATTTGCATTTTTAAAAAAAAAAATTGGAAAATCAGACAATATAACAAAAAGAAAGACCTACTGAATGAGCATTCGTTAAAAGAATTTGGAATGTTGTGAGGTTTCTCCGTTCTTAAAATATATAGGAAAAGGACCAAACAGAAATTAGATTATCTTATAGTGCTGCCAGATGTTCAATTCTCGTGGGAAGAAAAAATAAGAAGAGAAAATCTTAGGAAACGGTCATTCGCTAGACTTTTCCCATCTAACCAAACTGTTCTTTTTTCTTGGTCGACATGCCGCGTTACATCTTCAGATTGAAAATTTTTCTATTGGACCAATCGAATTTCATTTATTAGAATGTCTCTAGAACATTAATTTAAAAAAATAATTTAAATAATATCAATCCGATGTAATCTGTTTAATACAAAATTAATTTAAATAATAATTAAATTTTAGAAAAATAAAGAGAAAATTTCAAAAATTCTTAAAAATATAGAATGCTACACAGATGAAGAGTTTAGTACATTTATATGTACCTGTATATGAACAAAAGATTTACTAACTAATGGCTATTAATATACAATTGCAAAATGAATTAATTTTTTGCACATTATAATTGATTTTTTAATTAATATATGAAGATTAATACATTTTATCCACATTTAAGAAGAAAAAGTTAATATAATTAGTCATAGGATTTTTATTAATTTGCAATTTACTTGCAAGAATATATTGCAAAGAATTATATATATATATATAATATATATATATATATATATATATAACTATATATATATATATCTTATTTATTTATTTATTTTTGTTTTAAACCACAGGTATTATTTATTTATTTTGTTTTAACCACAGGTATCTCAATTCACTAGACTAGAAATAAATCATGTTTACACTTGGTCGACCCACTGAGAGGTAAACTGTTTCGAGCGAGTATTTGGTGATCTATACATAAAGATCGAATGTCAACCTCACTTAAGTGCCAAACCACTTATCGTAATATTGGTCGGTTCAGCAAAAATACTTTTAGTAATTAATTGGAACTTTTGTAACCTCATTTAATTTCATATAATAGCATTGATGATAAGTATCCTTATCTTGGATATTAAGATAATCTAGACAAAGATTAGACTTTTCAATTCTTTGATGAAGAGTCATTTTCGTTTGGACACTAAATCAAACCAAACCTTCCATAAAGACTAAAAAACTACCTATAAACAAGGGCAATGTATGAAGACTCCCAAGTCTACACGTCAAATGGAACGCGTTTTCATTTTGAACAACAACACTTGCATTAAGCAGCCCTTCTTCCCTGTATATATATTAGTAAACAATGAGTCAGAAATAATATTTTATACTGTATAATAAAATAATTTTTCCACTATAAAAAATTTACTTTACCTGTAGATTTGATCGAACAAAAATCAGTTGTTATTTATCGACTGAATTTATAAAAAATAATATAAGAATTCTTAAATAAGCGAGAACATTAATCATATTATATATGATTGATAAGTGTTTGATAATTTTAAATTTAATTGACAAAACTTATTTATACAGCATCTAATAAAATCTCAATCCAATTAAAATTTACCGAAAATAATAAATAAAAAATTTTACTTGAAATTTTTACCATCTTGAAATCAGTTCCTTTATTATTTGAAATTCGAGGCAATGATACAATTTTAAAATTTATAGTAAATTTCAGTGACTAAGAGAGGAATTGAAATTATTATAACTTAAAAACATACAGAATTATAGAATCTATGAGTATTCTGAGTGGTAAGATATAATTGAATTATGGACAAGTAAGCTAAAAGTTTGAAAATAAATTTTAACAAGGAATTGAATTAAATGATTTTATAATATAAAAATTTCAACTTCTATATTAATATTTAAAAATATAATAACTCCTGAATTTTCAAT